TATGTGATATCAAGTAATTGAACTCTTCACTTTACTCCAAAACTTGACAAATGATTTTATTTTTATGAACACGTTTATGTGAATAATCTTTACAATCTTTACCTCTTGATAAGTCAAAAAGATTCTGGAATTATTTTGTACACTAATTGATGATTTCCACAACTTTGTATATATAATATATCTCAACATTAAAACCATTGTAAAATTTATCTTGCGCATTTTTTTCTGGAATTTTTTTCACGAATTTTTTTCGACGACGACGAAGCAAGTTTAGTATTTTTTTCGAAATAAAAATGAATTATCAAAGTTATAACCATAAACCAATCATGTGAAAATGAGTGATATCTTGGAATTGTGTACATCAATATTTAGCGAATAACGAATCATAATAATGAAAATCTTAATTCATAATCATCTTTGAATCGTAAAATTTTGAATCATCAGATCTGATACTTTCAGAGTATTTGAGTATTTAGTTCACCTATAATTAATAATTATTCATGTATCGATTAATTCAAATTTTTAGACTAATCAATTTTCATTATAGTAAAAAACTTGATCACAAGTTCTTATATTACAAGTTAGACTTAAGGTAAGAAATAGTGTATTGAAAGAATATAAATTTATAAAGAAATCACATATATATTTTCTCAACTTGATTATATTTTTTTCTGTAAGTATATAAATTAACATCAAAGCGTAAGAGACACATTTAATCTCTCAAATTTCGGTAAGGTGTATGATTTATAATCCTAAGCAAATTTATTTTCAAACCTCTCAAATAAATTACAGTCTATTGGCAAGAAATTCGTCAACACATATCTCTGATTGCTGATTGAATAACAGCCTAAAAATGCAGTGATATATATCAGACGAGACTTCGTAAATTTTTTTATTTTTTTTTCAAAGTCAAGGCGGTAACAATCTCAAGAGAAATGAACAAAAATTTTTAAAAATTATTTTCCATTTGTTACTCTTGTGCAAAATTTCCTACAGCCTGACATTCATAAAAGTGATGACATAACAAAGATTTGAAGCATGTATTAGAAATGTATATGCACATATATAAGACCTGACTTATATGTAGTGTTTCCTAAATCCTAAAACAAATATTTGAAATTTTATGCAATCAAAAAAGCTTTAATTGATACTCTTCTTCAATATATGAGGTGATAATAAGAAAATTAAACACTGAATAATATTGAATGCAATCATGGAAATTTTGCTTTAGTTGAGCAAGATATGATGAGAATAATAGAATGTTGACAATTCTTTGAAATATGTCTACAATTAAAATATATAAATGTCTTCAAGTGATTTATAATGCTATGATATATACGAAAAAATCAAATTATTCAAAAAATTGAATTTCATAGATTTGAATATTTGAGTACAATATATTCTTGAATCTTTGAAAGTTTTTTGCTCATTGATGCAGATTATGAATTAAATTTTTTATTATAATGACAAAATTGGTTATTTAAATGAAAGTTTTTTGCAATATAAGTTTGAATTAGATATTGATTTGGTTAAAGTTGAAAACAAAGTAACAAAACACATACTTTATGTAAAATTTGCACAAAAGAATTGTTCTTCAACTTTCAAAAGATAGCCAATTAACTATCATAAAAAGATAGTATAGACAACAAAATGTGTGAGTGACCAATTGAATGTTGATTCAAGGTTCATAATCCTAAAGATCATTTCAGTTTTTCATTCAAAGTATTATGTTAGCATACATAATCATAAATGTTTTCAATCATAAATCCACACTCACTGCATACCTCGTATACTTTTATTTGCAAAAAGTATAGTTAAATATGCAATTACAAAAAAAGTTAAAAAACAATTTTAGAGTTCTCAATCTGTCAACATGCTATGAATTTTGTTCACTCCATAAAGACAATTTTTACTTTGTATATGAAATCCTCAAAGATGTCTTTCTATATGTCAAATGTCTTATCATTCACTCAATCAGTTAGTCGATGATGTCACAGAATTCCTATAATATGCTTCTTGAATGTATTTTTCAATGTAGTTGAAAGAAAAATTGTCATTACTAGTCAGCTGGTTTAAATATGAGTTATTTTAAAAAGAAATAGTTAAAGATAATGGGCTGAATAAAACTCAACTATCCTCCTAACCTTTTGAATGATGAATAAACATGAGATTTTATTATAAGCGTTTTTGAAATCTATTAGGAAGACATTCTTATTAGAATGAGTATCTAGAAGAGCTATTATCAAATAGTATTGCACTAAAAAAGTCGGCTTCTCAAATACAAACTCATTTTGACAAAAATGTTGATAATGCATACATCGATACTTTAACAATTTACAAGTTTCTATAAGAAATTCTATATTGAGTTTTAGGCCTCAATATTCTTTCCCATCAAAAGAAGCCTACTGGCATCGGACTTAGTAACAACATAATCTACATTTGAAGAACTAAGGCAATCCTATCAATTAACTTTGTAGATTAATTTTTGACAATCTGCTTAGAAGGTATTTTGAAACTTGTCACATATGCTTCTATATGTATGTGCGAGGGGGTTTGCATTTACAGTTAATGAAAGAAATCTGCTAAGATATAATTCTCGTCTGGACTATACTACAAGCACTTTATTGAGAAATTTTCTCCTATAGATATGTGACTATGAAAAGATGAAAGAAAATCATCTCTGGAACTAGCTGGAGAAGAGCAGGTGCAACTCTATTATATTTCCGAGCATAGGTTAATCTATGTGGAAATATTACTCTAGCATCAATCCCTGTTTAGTCTTATTGGTTCACTCTCCATGTTCAAGATGCACTCTAATATAACGTGGTTATCATTGTGGACCAAAGATAAATAATGATCATACTAGTTCGTCAACGGGATCGTTTGTCAGTAGTCTAGCGGTATATAAAAATCACATTTAGCCTCATCATGAAACTCACAAGAACGTGTGCATTTAAACGTAGTGTAGGAGAAAGCCGTAGGATACGACTTGCATGACAATCATTTTCACGATCTGATCGGCATATTATGAGCAATGAATAAAAAATTTGATAAAGTTTTTGTCACGATTGTCATGATAGATGCTAATATGTGTATGCAAAAATATCCAATAAATTTATATTATTCGTTTCATTTTTTCTCATGAATGTTTACAGTTCCAAAGTAAGAACTCACTACGCAAGATGCATAGTGTGTCGCACAGCCTTCGATGAGAAGAAGTAAAGCTATGAACACAAAGAGAAAGATAATTCGCTCTAATGATGTCTATAATTCTTTAACTAGATCTGAATGGAACCAAAGAAAGAAAAAGAAAATATCAAAAAAAGAACTCACCTCAAAATTGAGTACAATAATTCGAAACAGTAAAAGCATATCGAAAGTTTCTATCTATGTAACATTATTTTCATATTCAATTTTGATACCAATGGCATCACAAAAGAAAAACCATTTACTTATGCTTAGTAAAATATAGCAATAGTATAGATGACAATCAAAATGGCTCAAACACTCTTCACTCCCTTCATAAGCGCAGAATCACCAAATCACTATGACTGTCAGTAGGTTTGTTTCCTCTAAGCTTCCTGGACCTGGTGAGCGATGTGGCGGGGAAGCGGTAGTGGTGAGTCGGAGAAGAAAGCCGAACGGCTGAAGGGTCCCACTTTCAAAGCTACCGAAAAGAGAAGCTATAAATTGCAGCTCTTTGATGTTCTATTGACTCGATTTCATAAGTTCTACTGCAAAACATTTTTAAACGATCTGATGAGATGGAAAACAACGTCGAGAATAAGCTTCGACTACAAGACGTAGCTCCTTAATGTGAGGCCAAGTGCATGTCCTGCTACTCGGAACAATGTACAGTTTGCTTGGTTGAGGCCACTATGAACTCTTTCCACAAAAACTTGCTTCCACGATGTCCGCTGAAGTGATCACAACATTAGGAAAGACTTCTGTATCCATTTCGTCATGAATTACAGTTTTCTGGTGAAGTACACGAAGTGCAATAAACTGTGAATGTTCATCATCGTAGAAGGTCACTAGGAGACTTCCATTCGTGGGCCATTCCAAGTTCAAGAGTGGGATTTGCACTCCTCCCTCGCCTTCACTTTTGTCAAACAATTCTACTCCAGAGCAACACACTCTAGCCATACGCGCGCGTACAGTCGATTGTGTTTCGAACAGGGTTTGCTTGAGTGGTCAGAAAGTGGGTGTAACACCAACATTTTTGCAATGTTACGAGATCTTCTAGACAAGCCAGGGATCATGACTGAACATACCTCCTTTCCATTGGGATAGTCAAATCCAAGCCTGATCCCCTTCAGCCTGCTTCCTTTCCCGTATAGTACAGTAGGGAACATTCTTATCGACCTGACAGAAGGTGATCTGATTCGGATACGAGAGCTGGCAACAACGAGCGCCAGGATCAGAACTCGGGGGTGAGCTCAGTGATCGGAGAGACAGATATGAACCAGACACAATAATCCCAGAAGCGGGGAGGGAATTGTCCACAAATACGTAGTGAAGTGGGTGCAGGTGGATTTTTTAGGCCTGACAATCTTCCAGTCATGCAGTGAGATACATGAACACAAGTCCAGTACTTCCTGTCTAATTGACAAGTTGTTAATGATTGGACACAGTAGTCATGCATTCATTTCAGGTGACGGCTCAAAGGTCAATGCCTTAACTGTCAGTGTTCTACGAGTTTCTGCTTTCAGCACAATTATTGGAAACACTTCTATGTCTGTACAGTATGTGAACATAGCTGAAAGAGCATTTGCTTCTTTTGACACGTGGAATTTAGTTCACCGACCATGCTTCTTGAGGTTAAGAGGACTGAACGTAAAGGTCAAATCGCCTATATATATGATTTACTTGTGAGCACAAATGAGAAGAATGAATATGATTATGCATTTGGATTGTCTCATTAGCAGTGTCCTCGATCGTGTCTTCATGAACATTATCATCTCGGTTGACAATGATAGCCAATGTGAAGCTAGAGAATAGGCCAGTGTATTAAATACGCAAAAGTGGGAGATGAAATCCAAACACATGCAATCATAACATTCCAAAACCTGCGCAATGTGAACCACATTAAGAAGCTGATAGTTGCACTTCAATTATTTTTTATGATTTTGGACTACGGAGTTTTTCTTGATTCGATTTCTCGCAAGTCTACACGGAAGAATGATTAACGAACACCATACTGGAATATATATCTGGATGCTTATCTCGTATCTTATTCCACTATCTCACGTCTCATAGTCCACAGTCCATGTGTCCCATGGATTAGACATTCAGTTCGATGTCAGTCGTTGAAGACAATGTCGACATATGTGTTGAACTGCAGAAACTGTCTATAGATCTTTCACACTGTAAACATGTGAAAATGAAACACCGCTTAACTTTGTTGTCGGCTTTCAATCCCCTAATCATCTATAAGTAAGTCGTTTCCACCATGAACCCACGAATGCTAAAGTAAATTTCATGTAAAATTTGGAGCTAGTAATAGAACATAACACTCCGAAACCATGGGTGTAAGACCGCCTGAATAATGAAATCGAGGAGCTCTGTGCGGACTAAGGCACCAAGATGACAAGACCTTCAGTAAGTGCATGTTCGAATGTGATAAGAGAGTAATGAAATCTATCTGAATGTAAATCCGTCACTGGAGATCCAATGGAGATCGCGCTTAGCCTGGCCAAAGAGGGGCCACTTTCTACATTCTATCGAAGCCAAATACCTCAGATTACAGAATGACGGCAAGAGTTGATGAAATCAGAGCAGCCATTGTTACCAACAAGCTCCTTTCAGCCAAGGAGGCTGAATCTGGTGTTACCGTCGCCGGAACCTTATGAGCAGGGGGAGACTTGACTGCAGATTTCTTGGGAGCAGGGGCAGGGGCTGGGGAAGCCAGAGGTGCAGGTGTGAAGAGGTTAAGAGGAAGAAGAACTTCGTCTATGGCGTACATGGTAACAGGATTCGCGTCGTAAATAATTTCGAGGACGGTCGCCACAGAGACTCCAGTGCGCAGCCTCACAGTACTCTGTCCAGGGGTAGCGCTGACGTTGAGAATATAGCCTGCTGCGTCTGCCGAGGCTAAAGTCTTAGTGGGTTTGTTGAGCATAGTCTCCAGAGAGTCGAGACTTTCATATCCATCGAGAGCATGGTACTCCAGCAGAAGTTTCTGTTCCGAGAGGCTGAGAGTTTGGATGGACCCAGTGGCCAGAGAATTGAAAGCAGAGTCCCTGGGTGCGAAAATTGTGATTCCCTCCGCCTGCTTCTCTGCAAACACGGCGTCGACTTTCGTTTCCTGGAGGTAGCTGATGAGGAGAGTGAACTCCTGGAACGAGTCCAGCACTGCAATCAAGTCTCCTGAGGCATTGTTGAATCCCACAGGCAGAAGAACCTGATCAATCTCGATAATGCTGACGTCGAAAGGCGACTTCTGAACTCCAGCCAGCACGGTGACGTTGGAAGAGGAGTCTGGAACCGAAGGTCCAAGTTTGACACGCGACTTCAGATTGTAGATGTTGACGAACCCATTGTTTCCGCTGGCCCTTCCAGTGGTCTGCAGAAGGGTGGTCACGGAGGTGTAGTTGGTCGTCTTCAGGGCCCTGAGCTCTGCCATGTCAAAGTAGGTGAGCAGCACATGAAAGCGGAGGAGATCGGTGATTTTGATAGCGTCCGTCTTGTTATTGCTGGTCCGGAAGGCTCTCATGACATTGTTGGCGGGAGCCAGTAATGTGACGGACTTTCGACCATTGATCTCCGCCGCCACGCCGTGGGAACTCAGCATCTCTCTGAACACGCTGAATCTCGGGTGGCCTGACAGCATCTTGGTGATGTTGAATTTATGAGTGCTTTGAGAGCATGTTCCGACAATGCAGCACAACAGTGCCAACGCCATCAAGCCGGACCGAGCTGCTCGTCGAGGACCCATCGTGACTCGATTGCAGAACAGATCCCAGGCTGCCCTCCCACCGAACAATGAAGTCGGCAGGTCTCAAACTTCAAAAATACTCGATGAAACATGAGATGTGATCCTCGAGCCAGAAGCACATGCAAAAAGCATATCCTCAAGCTTCGATTATTAGAAAGAAAAGGGGAAATTTCTCGAAAAGCATCGGAAAACCATCTGGAACCGATCCCCACCATCGAAGGACCCACCACCACCACCACGTCCGTAGGTCATAGAAACAGTCAAAGTGGTCACAACCAAGCTGGAGCAGCATATAAGAAACTGGATCCATTTCACTGCCAACGACTGAAGCTTCTTCCGGTAAATGTGTTGGAGAAAATGAGATTACTATCAGCTGGAAGGTACTGGCGATCAGGTCTTATGCACAAGGACTTACTACGAGAGTTTTATGCAAGCGTCTGATCTACACGCGGACTTTAATCTGCACAACCTCAAAGCAAAGTCTTGCCACTCTCAAAAACATCGCTCCCATGTAGTGAGCTGCAAGACACTCGACAGAAAGCCTATCGAAGTGGAGCCTAGATGAGCAGAATCTCCATCCGGCGTTTTGACAGCTCCTAGAAACTGAATCAGCTCTGTCACGAATGTTCAAGGTGGGTCTAGAGTCAAAGAACATTTCAAATTCTTGGGGCCTTTCCGATCCAGTGATGAACGCGAACAAGACGAGCTCCAAAACCAAAGATGGTAGTTCGTAGTTTACAATGCCAATGTCTTATCCAATGCTTTTGTGGTTGACAACTGTACTGACATGTCCGGGCCTAAGGTGGTAGAGGTCAGCATTGTCATATTTTGTGCGCCTCGGAAACCAGCATGTCTAAAGCAGAGACACGATCTGCTTTTACTGATATCTCTAGTCATCACTTCGAGGCTTTAATTCAAACTCCGCGGCCAGCAAATATGAAATTGATCAGTCCATCGTAATGTGCTGTATTCAATATGAGAAAGTGCTCACTTTTCGTTTTTAACCTGCCATGCAATGTGTCCTACACAAATGGAAATATTATCGTCACCAGGAGAGATAGAGACGCCACTGTGACGTGAAACTCCATTATCATCGTAGCAGGGGCCTACAAAGTGAACTTGATACCCTCGTACAAAGGGTGCGTACCTGAATGGACATGACAAAGGTGGGTCTACGCTGAGGTTTACTGAATTTCAATTACCTTGAAGATGATGGGAATCTCGTGAAAGGCAGAAAGTCTTCAATATACGATGCAAAGAAACCCATTTTGGGAAATTGAACTGCAATTATTAAAGGTAAACGCCAAAAGATATGAGCGTGCAGCTCTGGACCAGATTCACTACATGACATCATCTGTTTAGTGATGCGAGCTGTTCTCAGGAATGTCTCAACTAGGGCTCATCGTCAGACGGTGAGTACATTTATTACTTTCATCTTGGGCGAAGTTTGCAATCTGTGTACGTATGTACAACATTTAAGTTTTAGATTTCGACGTACTACTCCTAACTTGACGTGTACTTTCAAGTACGATGTGATTGTAGTCTTTATTTTGCCACAGCACTCGAAGATGCATGTTGTGTTTTCATGGGATTGGGATTCGGATGTCATGGATGTGTACATTTTGCAAGTAATTGTGGAGAAGATGGGTATGGAAAATGATGCAAAATAATAAAGTGCCAAATATTATATTTTATACTCCAACTAATCCTATGATGTTGGTTCTAGATATTTTTGATTTCTAAATGTTTCATTGGAGAAAGTTGATATAGTATGAAATTAGCAAGACAGCCATGACCATTTATTGCTTGTTGGCTTCTATGTTTCCAAGTCTATATCACCAAAGTAATTTATTATATCTTTTCATTATTATTGCGTTCATGTTTCCAACTCTCTATAATGTATATGATATTTTCAATCTCCTAAATTGGATGAATATTCATATACTTAGTTGTAAAAAATAATTCTATATTCCAAATCAAAAACTAAATTTTTGGAATCGCTATGTTAATGATTGCATTTTATGCTGGATAACAATGGTTTGAACATCAATTTAATGTGCTTCTTGAGCTTCTTTGACTTTTGTAAATTATTTTCTTGTTTTAGAGTTATCCAGCCAAATTTTGTGTGCTTTAACAATGGTATTGTTAGCTATGACACTATCACGTTGAGTTGATTAAACTCAACAAATTTAACTAGAATGACACACGTTGTGTAATTATTTTTCTAATATAAAAACTTTGAGAAAATTTGAATTATGAATATGAAATGTTCCAATCAACAAGTTATTGACAACTGTTCATCTCTTCGAGTTCCGTTTCAAACAAATTTGAGATTTTCAAATTTTTTTTACGGGCAAATTGATTTGCTTTTATCAATCTTTTGTTTTCGACCAAAAAAGATAAGAGCAACTTTGGTAGCTTTAGCATAAGATTTCATTTTTTAAATTTTCAATCAATTGTAGCAATGTAAAATTATTAGAAGTAATCGCTAGAGAATATGAATTTTCTTAACTGATCTCAAAACATCAAGCATCACATAATTATTAATTTTCATCATTGACTCCAAAACATTGTGTGAAGTCTTTAACTCTCGGATTTGAATGTGTGCAAGTATCAATTCAAAATTTTGTACCTTAAATTGATGTCTAAACTCTTTATAAAGAAGCATTTATAAAAAATTCAAAATTTTATCCTGAATAGTCATCATCTTTTCTTTCACATAACCTTTTCTGATCCTTACACTGATTCATGCTTATGTGATCTATTCTTATCCTGAATCTACCGGACAACCCTTTCAACCTTCCCATGACCAGGCATACCTCTCACTACTTTCTCTCCATTAATGTTCCCACTTGTCTTGATTTTGTTTCAATATTACGGAGGTTAAGTAGATCCTGCAAAGCCACTCAATGAAGAAATCCCAAACAGGGGATGGCATGCTATTGACATCTATTAGTCAAACTGGAGAATCACCTCGGTGCTCTTCGCTCTTGAGGGGCTGATCTCCGTCATGCACCGCCCTGAAGACCGAGGCATCACCCTCTTGTCTCCAACATAGCGCTATGACTCGGGAATTACCCTCTAAAACTGATAATGACAATAACAAGTTACGGAAATCATTCCTTAATTAATTGGTTTGTTGACTTCGAAAAACAGCGTACTTTATGCAATTTCTCCACGCTACCTGCAAGTTAGCACTCACTCGTTGGCATCAATCTATCGACTTCGTCGGTGACATCTGTCTAGAGTAATATCTGGTTAAACCCTAAATTCATCCAGATGGATTTTCTTTACAGATAGGAGTGCACAAATCTGGGCGTGAAATCAAAACAGAGTGTGAGGTCTGCGCTTGCTACCAGCTCTATATGAAATTGCAAAGCTGATTTTCCATTTGCTCCTTGTGTTGCTAGAAAGTAGAATTACATAATATACACGTGCACCACTGAAGTTACATCAACGTGACATCTATTTGAATTGCTGGTGTTGCAGCAATCTTCGACATCATGTCAGATGCTCGTGAGCCCGTGAGTAGTACGACCATCGGACTTGGTGCACAAAGCGATGCCACTTTACCAAGCATTGAAACTGAGGTTATAGAGAGTCTGAACATCTATGGTGGTCAAACAGTGAAGGCAAGTACATATGAAAGAAGTGGAGCACTTCCAACCTTGAGGAGTATTACAATCACTGAGTATGACGAAAACGAAACGGTCCGCACGGTGTTCGAAGTTGATACACAACCTCTTGCACAGGACGATCCCACGTTACAAATTGTGGATTGTGGATTTCGATGGAATGCCTGTGCATTGACCGATTACAGGGTGCAAAGCATTGAAACTGAGGTTACAGAGAGTCGGAACATCCATGGAGGTCGAACAGTGAAGGCCAGCAGATATCAAAGAAGTGGAGCACTTCAATTCTTGATAAGTTCTACAATCATTGAGTATAAAGAGAACGAAACTGCCGTTTCGCGCAAGGTGTACGATTCACTTGGACGTCAGATCAGTGGATAGGTGAGATTCTTTTCAGACCATCCGCTATCTCTACTAAGCTCGAGTACAATCTGGAATTGCGATTCTTGGAAGTGCGTGTGATCACTTTTTCTGTAACTAAATACTTTCTCATCAAAAACGTTCTAGGATATTTACTTGCACATCTGACTCACCTGCTAAGGGCGTAGGATTTCCTACTTGCGTATGTGATCATTGCCTGCGCAGGGTACTGAATTCGAGGGTGGTGTATTTACATACAGGGTACTGAATTCGACGGTGGTGTATTTACATACGGCGCTTGGGTACAGTTTGATTGATTTCGAGTAGAATATATCAGAATAAATTAGAAACCCAACGAAGCTTATGACGAATTGGTACAAGCTGTGTACCAATTCGTCAATGAAAATGAAAAGTCCATAGAGTTTCTTTAACTCAAGGAGATGAACGTTTTCTTAGAAGAGTAGAAGAAGACTGCAGAGCAAGCTATGCTCATGGCTCGAGAAGAATGTGAGTAACTCTGTTGAACACAAGACATTTAGGTCAAGAGATTTGTGGCATGGAAGAGCCACCTTCGGACCTCACTTACGTGAAGTGAAGATTGTGAGCTGCACTTTAGATGAATTATGCTGACTATCTAGTCGCTAGATATAGCTAGAAAAGTTCACTGACGCCAATACGCGAGTTGATGAAGACTAAGACTGAAGAGGGACAGATGAGATGATTATCTATTTCTTTGAAATCTGATGTTTCAATGTGTAGATTTTGTTGAACTGACTAAAAGGGAGAGCAATTAAGCTCTGTAAACTAATTCATTCCTTTCTATTCATGTTTATTCTCTTGATATTCATGAATCAAACTAAACATTCATGACTTTTGATCCAAAATTCAACTTCTTTGCTTTTGCTAAAGTATAGTTTACATCTAAATTTTTCATTTGGAAATTTTGATATTTTTTTAATTATATTTGAGATGTTATCATAATAATGTATGATAAATTTTAAAAATTTATGTTTGATAACCAGGCCTCCTTAATTTCGGGATCTTCCAAAATCACCTTAAATAAACAAATTTTGGGATCATTTCAAAATCACTTTTGGGAAATTCAGGAGTATTGGAAATAATTTATTTTCCAAATCCCTAACGGCCTCTTCGTTTCCAAAGACAGTGCAAAAACGACAAGCGACATTGGAGTCCGCATTCGTACGCGAGTTTCAAACAGTGATCTTCATAATATACTTGGCCGCGTTCTCATGCTGGAACCGTAGATTTTTAGAATACTTTGGAGTCATTGTGAAAAATAAGAATGAAAAGACATTGAAAGTAAATAAAAAGACATTAAGTACATTCTTTTTATTGAAAGAAATAGAAATTTCCTCAAAAATATTTACAATTAATTTATTAAAGATTAGAGAATTACAATTGAGTCAGGCGTAATTCTCTTATCTTTAAGTAGATAACTAATTGTAACTTACTATTTGGAATGATTAGTTTTTCATGAGTGAACTAACTAATCATTTCATATTGATTAATGATATAAAATAAAGCGAAATTACAATTGGTGAAATTATGATGGAAATTGCTTTTGTTACACGGTATTACAAACTGCCAACCAAATCAATTCTTCACAAGCATTCGAGTGAATAAGGTCAAAATCAAACCTTCCAACAATAGAATTATTTATTTTCAGTATAATCTTGGAATTGCCACTGATTCCCAAAATTAAGTAGGCTTGATGATAACTTATTATAGCAAACATAAATTTTGGCATGCATGACTGATTTTTAATATGTGGTTATATAACATCAAGCTCTCTAAACCTTCTATAAATTAAATCTCCCTGGATTTATGTCACGACAAAAGATCTACTTTACTACTAAGTACTTAGAATTTTACATATGTATCCCAAATACTCCCTTTCCTGTATGATACAAGTGGCACACAGCAAAATCTAACTTTGCAGCTCTACACACATGTCACCCGTCAATTTCAAGCCTACAGCCGTCCATACATAGGTTTTACTCTCAATCAAAACTTATGCGACTTGAGAATTCACTCGGTTATGTACAATGATACAATATACCACATTGCGAAATATGGTATATCCAACACCAAGTAAATGACGTTGATTTTAGACATCTTTACATTCTAAATGTGTCACCGGTAGAATTTGATAATTGATTAAAATAGAAATACAACTATGATCATTTCTTGCTTGTTGCTTTCTATATTTCCATGTCGATACTACCAAAATAAATTTGTATATCTTTTCAATAATATATTGTTCATGTTCCCATGTCTCCACAATGTATATAATTTTCGGTATCTCCCAAATTGCATGAACATTCATATACTTGTTTATAAAAAATCTTATTATATTCCACATCAAACTCTCAATTTCTTGAATTGCTAGGTTGATGGTTTATTTCTTACTAGATAATATTTACTTGCACATTATTTTAACCTCCTTCTTGAGCTTCTTTGACTTTTGTAATCTAATTTACTTTTGTAGAGTTCTAATATTTTGATCCAACCAAAATCTTTTTGCTTTGACAATAATCATATTATACATGTTACTATCTTCTTGAGTTTGATCAACAAACTTAACTAGAACAACACGCTGTGATCTTATTTTTCTAATATTAAAACCTTGAGAAGATCCAAATTATGAACATGAATTGTTTAGCCAAGAACCTAGTGACAATTCTTCATCTCTTCAAATTCTAGTTTTAAGCAAACCTGAAATTTTCACATTCTTCGTACGAACAAATTGATATGTCTTTTCAATCTCTTGCTCTTGAGAGTATAACATATGAGCAGCTTCTATAGCATTAGCATAAAATTTGATTTTCATTATTAAAGTTTCAACTATCTCATGCAATCTAAGACTATTCAAAGTAATTGCTAGAGAGTATAAATTCTCTTGAATATCCTCAATCAATTTAGAAAAATAAAGCATCACAGAATTATCAATATTCATCATTGACTCGAAAGCCTTATATGACGCTTTTAACTTTCGGATTTGAATGTATGCAAACATTAACTTAGAACTTTATACCTTGAAATTAAGTCTAAACTCTTTCAATTCATGCAATAGCACATCTACAAGAATCAAATTTTTGTCTTGAAATATCATCATGTATCCAACTTCACATAATATGTAAATTTTTTGAGCCTCAAATTTTAAGTGCTAATGTGCTTCCTCCAACTACAAGTTAACACAAAATTCCAACTTCAATGACATTTTACTTTAAAGATATGGTATATGTAAGATTGAGTTTTCAAATAGCTAAAACTAGAAACTCAAAATTCTAAATTGAAACAACTTTGTATTTGAAACTCTTTTGTGCTTGAAATTTGGCAAGATAGTGCTCTTCTCTAATTTCACGCTTCTACAAAATTTTAGCTTAAATTAACTTTCCTATTGAAGATATCGAATCCGTAAGATTGAAAACTCCAATCCTTAAAATTACAAAATCAAAATTGACACAACTTTGTTCGTTCTCCTCTATAGGCTGAAGCCTTTGGTTAATCAAACCATGAAGCTCTCATGATAATGATGCTTTTTACTTGAGCATCATTAACAGCATAAAGTGGAAAACTTTTGATCCAACTTATCTTGCTCTTCAAACTTTGCGTGCCACATGTTTCATTGTGTGGTTAGTGGATGTGATGACTTGATGATTGAAGTGAAATGTGGCAGAACGCGATTGAGACTTGCAACCAATAGCACTCTACGAGCGTCTACAATTTGTCAATATTATTTGAAACAGATTTGGCCTCAAGATGAAATTTTATCAACTTCATGTTAATCCTATGCTTGTTTTCAACAAACAAGAATACATGCTTGTGAAAATTCCATGTTTTTACGTCATATTATTGCTCAACACAAAATTGGATACCATAGATTTAAAATTGAGTAAGTAGGATGGTTCAATAATCATAGGAATGTATGTATTGGTAGGATATGTGATAATAGAAATATTGAGTATGAAGACCATGTGTTTGTTACATGTAATAGTTATAAAGAGATTAGATTAGCTCTTGAAAGATATGTAGATTAATTCTATTTTCTTTTACATTTATTGACTTTTGATTTAGATTGTTATATTAGTAATGTCATTAATCATTGTTCTAGTGCTCTTCGCACTAGTTAGGGATAGATCTATTTCCTAATCAGTGTATGTTTGACTTGTATGTTTTTGTATACCACAAACTTGATATATTTATCATCTACCATTTAAGATTCTAAATTTAGCAATTGCAGAATTTAGCAATTTACCTCTCTTTATATCTGGATGGATTCCAATATTTTGGGAAAGTTGGATGACATATTAAATGTCACCAAGTTGTGAGTAACCAAGATTGAAAGATCTTTTGGTCTAACCAATGGGTAAATGGATGAAATAAGAGATTACTTCCTCCTTCCTTTTCACATCCTGAACTATCATGACAATTGGTGCATAGACTCCCACTTCACTATCACTTTCTTTGTGAATCTTTCCTCTACCTCTTTCAGTATTTGGCAATATACCCCTATTCAACTTGAAAGTGCTTGGCTCCCTTTCAGATTGAGTTTCTAACAAGCAACTACTTGTACTTCCGATCTTCATGTAACCATCTACACTACCACTCAATTCCTCTACTCTCTCGTGATTTGTTGGTAATCTTTTCTTTCACATAGACTTTTCTAATCCTAACAATAATTCAGGCTTATGTGATCTAGTTCTCTCCAATAATGTTCCCACTTGTCTCAATTTTGTTTAAATATTATGTAGGTTAAGGAGATCCTGCAAAGCCACTTCGGTGAAGAAATCCCAAACAGGGGATGGCATGCTATTGACAACTATTAGTCAAATTGGAGAATCACCTCTGTGCTCTTCTGCTTCGCTCTTGAGAGGCTGATCTCCGTCATGCACCACCTTGAAGACCGAGGCATCATCCTCTTGTCTCCAACATAGCGCTATGACTCGGGAATTACCCTCTAAAACTGATAATGACAATGACAAGTTACGGAAATCATTCCTTAATTAATTGGTTTGTTGACTTTGAAAAACAGCATATTTTTATGCAATTTCTCCACGCTACTTGCAAGTTAGCACTCACTCGTTGACATCAATCTATCGACTTCTTCGGTGACATTTGTCTAGAGGTGTATCTGGTTAAACCCTAAATTCATCCAGATGGATTTTCTTTACAGATAAGAGTGCACAAATCTGGGCGTGAAATCAAATCAGAGTGCGAGGACTGCTCTTGCTACCAGCTCTATGAAACTGCAAAGCTGATTTCCATTTGCTCCTTGTGTTGCTAGAAAGTAGAATTGCATAATATACACGTGCACCACTGAAGTTACATTAACGTGACATCTATTTGAATTGCTGGTGTTGCAGCACGCTTCGACATCATGTCAGATGGTCGTGAGCCCGTGAGTAGCACGAGCATCGGACTTGGTGCACAGAGCGATACCAGTTTACCAAGCATTGAAACTGAGGTTATAGAGAGTCTGAACATCTATGGAGGTCAAACAGTGAAGGCAAGCACATATGAAAGAAGTGGAGCACTTCCAATCTTGAGGAGTATTACAATCACTGAGTATGACGAGAACGAAACGGTCCGCACGGTGTTCGAACTTGATACACAACGTCTTGGACAGGAGTATTCCAGGTTACCAACTGTGCTAATAGATGGGAGGATAATCCCTGAAGCACAGACCGATTCCAGAACACAAAGCATTAAAACTGAGATTACAGAGAGTCGGAACATCCATGGAGGTCGAACAGTGAAGGCGAGTAGATATCAAAAAAGTGGAGCACTTCAAATCTTGATCAGTTCTACAATCATTGAGTGTAACGAGAAGGGAAAGGCCATGTCACGCAAAGTGTACGATTCACTTGGACGTCAGATCAGTGGATAGGTGAGATTCTATTCAGACCATCCGCTATCTTTACTAAGCTCGAGTACAATCTGAAATTGCGATTGTTGTAAGTGCGTGTGAGCACTTCTTCTGTAACTAAACACTTTCTTATCAAAGACGTTCTAGGATCTTTACTTGCACTTCTGACTCACCTGCTAATGGCGTAGAATTTCCTACTTGCATATGTGATCATTGCCTGCGCAGGGTACTGAATTCGACGGTGGTGTATTTGCATACAGCGCTTGGGTACAGATAGTTCGATCAATTTCGAGTATAATATATTAAATAAATAAGAATAAATTAGAGTGAGAACCTCAAGGAAGCTTATGACGAATTGGTACAAGCTGTTTACCAATTCGTCAATGAAATTGAAAAGTCCCAAGAGGTTCTCTAACTCAAGGAGATGAAAGTTTTCTTAGAAGAATACAAGAAGACTGCAGAGCAAGCTATGCTCATGGCTCGAGAAGAATGTGAGTAACTCTGTTGAACTAGGTCAAGAGACTTGTGGCATGGAAGAGTCTACCTTTGGACCTCACTTACGTAAAGTGAAGATTGTCAGCTGCACTTTCGATGAATTATGCTTGAAATATCTCTATCGATGAACTCTGTCGTCGCTAGATGTAACTAGAACAAATTATTGACGCCAATACGAGAGTTGATAAAGATTAAGACAGAAGAGGGAAAGATGAGATAATTATCTCTTTCTTTGAAATCTGATGGTTCAATGTGTAGATTTTGTTGAATTGATTAAATGGGAGATCAATTAAGCTATGTAAACTAATTAATTCCTTTCTATTCATGTTTAATCTCTTGATTTTCATGAATCAAACTAAATATTCATGACTGTTGATCGCAAATTCAACTTCTTTGCTATCGCCAAAGTGTAGTTTACATCTAAATTCTTCATTTTGGAAATTGCGATATTGATTACTTAATTTATTTGAGATGTTATCATAATTATGTGTGATAATTTTGATAATTATGTATGATAATTTATTTTCACAAACATAAATATAGGCATGTTTGACTAACTTTTAATATGTGTTTATAAAACATTGAAATCTCTAAACCATCTGTATATTTTATCACCCTGGATTTATGTGACGAACAAAAGATCTACTCAATTGAGGGACTTAGACTTTTACATATATACCCCGAATACTCCCTTTCCTGTATGATACAAGCGGCACACAGCAGAATCTAACTTTGCAGCTCAACACACATGTCACCAGTCATAGTCAAGCCTACAGCTGTCCATACATCGAGTTCACTATCAATAAGTCAAAACTGATGCGGCTTGAGAATACCTCTAAGAAGCAAGATTATCATATCTAGAGACCCTTTCGCTTTCTCCTGTAGGATTACAGCTACCGAATCTCAATTCAGTCGCACGGATTTCCATGCACAAACTCTACTAGTCTAGTCAGGAGTTCTGTGAGGTTCAAGTCTGATTACACCGAACGTAGTGCCACGATGAAGGTTAAAATCCCTACATCCAGAACATTTGAGTGGGTTTGTAACGCGAATTTATCTGCTGGCTACCCACCTCGCACCGTAGAGGAGAAGACAAAAGGAGAAGGAATCGTTCTGCTTCCCCGCTCGTGCATGAGTTGGATATCTTACGTCACCCACATAACGAGGAAAGCGTAACTGATCTCTATCATTGCCTTCAGATGTTGAGGGGACTCCGCGGAGGCCCCAGCGGCTTGGTGGGGCTCACCACTAGTGCAAAGATGTTCCATGAAGTGACAGGGATAAGGAATGCCACGGTTTCTTCACAACAGATCAGAGAATAGAGCGTGGATCTTATGCTTGGTCCACTCTTCACCTGACAGTCGTTGTCCGAGCCAATTCTGGAAAGGCCCCCTGATCTTTTCAGGGTGTACAGCAGTATGCGTTCTCGTCCCTGCTGTAATTTGTACTGAATCGAGTGGCGTCTAAATGAGTAAGCCAACAACCAGGCCACTCTCTTGTGGATGCGAGTTGAACTTATGAACTTCTTATATTCTGTGAAAAGTTGACTCAGAAAGCAGGCAAGTTTGCTTGTGAGAATTGCGCCTCTGCTACTTTACATATGGACTTCCCCTGCGTGCTACGCGTTCTGTCCTGGGTGCCTATATTATGCATTGTAAAGACTGGAAGGATGAAAAGCTTCTGAAAGGTGACGGTCAACCATGGAGACATTTCTGCATACTTCTCTGACATGATATGTGCAATATGCAATGGGCTGGGTCAAGTTTTGCTGGGGAAGAAAGGTTGCTTTCACAAGGACCCTGCTTCGTGCATCTTCTTATCTGGCACAGGTTCTAAATTTTACATAGATATAGACGCCGTCCTCATCAACCATGCCTGATTGTGGCAAGAGATAAAATACAACCAATTGCTTCTATGAATCCTCAATTTGTAGCAGCTACGAATCAGAACTCTTACGGCTGAAAAGGTCTTTCCCGGTAAAATGTCTCTCTGCTTCTGCTCTCTGTCAATCACCAGATTCTGGTTGAGTTGACTATTCATCATCTCGTCAACGGAGCTTCAATTCGCTCCAACTTAGCCCTGCTCTTAAAACTCTTTCGAGGATACATGCGAAAAAGAAGTCTTGCTCCTAACGATAATATAGAATTCAGATTTGCAGATTTAGCAGTTATCAATGAGAATCAGTTAAATCCAGAGAATTGACAACTAACAATCGAAAAGCTCCAGACATCCCTGTCTAAGCAGAAAGAGGAGTAAAACTTCCGTACTGATCGTACAAAGATTACTGACTTGACCGATTCTTCATGAGATCGATCACGCAGTAACGTCTCAGTTGACAAGATTTAGACTCCGATCTCGTATCTTCCCGCATTTAGCACGATGAGAAGTGTGAGCAGCAACTAAAGCCTGTTCTTGGTCTTAATCTTACAAAAATGAGTTTCTGAACATCCTTCCTTACATGTCACAAGATCTGTGCCCCCCTGCAGCGAATACAGGTCCATAAATTCCAGAATACATATTATCAGATTGTCCGAAAAGTCAGTCTCTCGGAGGCCGTGTGTTGGAATATCAGCTACGCGTAAATCCTGTTAAAAACATAACAGTACTTGGTTGAATTATAAAATTGATCAATGCTACAAAATTCTATTGTACATGTTAGAAGTCGAATTACTACCCACTTCTTGGACCTCCGTACACTCACGTTCTTTGCTGTATGTACTTTGTACTATAGTCGGGGTCGTGACAGATTGTCACGACCAGCCGCTGTCCACTAGGGTTTCTGTTTCTCTCGGACTGTCACGGTTGGGTTTTCCCCATCCGGGTTCTCTCCCCATTAACTAAGATCTGCTCTCCAGTACTCAGTATCTGTGTCTCTCGACTCTTTCTTGTATTGCCTCACTTCTGTTATGGTATCAGAGCGTTGGGGTTTAGAGTTCAGAGTTCGAAGATTTGTTCTTTGAAGCTCAGCACAGAGTATAGTTCGAGTTCAGGGATATGACTTCTCCTGGGGTTTCAACCCGGTTCGCATGGAAAGAGCTCCCCCTCCCCAAATTCAATGGGGAACATTTCCATGCATGGAAGGGGAAAATTAGTTTAATCCTTCAACTGGAAGGACTGATGGACATCATGGAAGGGGTCGAAGTCAGGCCAAGCACTCCAACGGGGTCTACAACAAGAACTCCAGAGTCAGGCGCTGGCAGTAAGCAAGAATGGGATGTCAAAAATCTCATGGCCTTGGCGATGTTAAGTAACTCTTTGGAAGACCATCAACATCCATTGATCGCACGTCATTCTACCGCTGCAGAGGCTTGGGCAGAACTGAATGCATTTTTTGATGTTGATGGTCTTCCAACGAGTTACTTGACGCCAAGGCCATGAGATTTTTGTTATGAACAAAGAGGAGCGCGAGTAGCACGTTTACAGATAAAACGCCGTATCGGCTCCCAACGTGGAGAAAAGAGAAAGAGACGAAGAATGAACGATCCACAAACAAACGAAACGTAATATACTCCCATAGCAGACTGTTCATGTGAGCTTTGTAATATTAAAGCTCGTCTCTGTATATAAGAGATTCTTAGAAGTGGGTCGATGAGTCATGACTACCGGATGTGAATGTATGTAAACAGCTTCGTGATATTGAGTAACTTCGTTCAAAAGCTTTCGACGTTAGCACTTATCGTCTGAGAGCAGGAGCGCTAGGCAGGACTAGTAACAATTGCCCAACAGAAATTAGCTAAAAATGCAGCTGGAATGTGGGTGGTGATGTGTCCTTGTCTAAATTTGTGACCTCAATTGCTGCGAGTTTGTTCTCTAGTAACAGGAGAAAACAATTTGTCTCGATCTGAAATACATCTTTGCACTACAATGACAGCTCGATGACTGAAAAGATTATGAGATCATGACTCGGCATTGTCAAACAGCTTGGTCATGGACTTTCTCCGGGATGCATGCGTAGGCTCTGTAGAGTTAGGGCTCGAAATCATGCAATTGCAAATTTGTCCCAATCTGCAGCTGTGTAGTGTCCGCGTTCACGAACAGAATGTAGTAAATCTTCCAGCATAATTCGTGTGTGTAAGGACTATGCATAGCACAGATAGTAAGACCGATGTACATCTCGTAAGCAATCTCGCAGCCCCGTGAGGAATACACAAACGTAAGACTGTTCCATTTTAAGTAGAGAAATTGAAAGATTACACAAATGTTATATTTATTTCGTACGGAAGATCATTACTGTCTGTTCGGTGAGGTTGATCAGTGATCCATTCTGACCCGTCTTACTAAACTCTGTCCACAGGTATTCCTTCAATCTCATAATGGAGAGACGAATTGGAACCTCAGCGTGCAAGCTTTAGGAGTTTGTCAGTTCGTCGAGGAAGCGCTAGTCCTTCCCCGACGTGAAGCTGAGAGAGATCAAAAGATATCTCTTGGTTGATTGAATGCGAAAACTAGAGAATGGCAATCATGCCTAATCCAAGTCAACGCTTGGTTAGCAACCATGATTCTACCTATTCATGATCAAGCCCCCGATGTAAAGGCGGAAAGAGAAAACATAGGCCTTCAGGAGATTGAGCCGCAAGATCGGGCTTTTAGAGCTAAAGATAGCGAGTTCAGACTGTAGATATCACTGCTGAACCTCATTTGACAAGCGTAATGGGTGACAAATATGTCCTATCACTTGTCTGAGGGACAGAGAGATGTCCACAGGACCCACGGCTTCTCCACTGGATAGGACGTCTCAGTACAGGAAAGTGGCTTCTAATGCATGCAGTTGATTGGGCGTCTGCTACAGCAACCAAACCTCATGCACGACACAACGTCAAGGTCAGGCGATATAGTCAGTAACTCGAATTCTTTGCTGAAAGTTCAAAAATTACCTTCACACCCACGACCCAAAAACTTGTGTTTGCTTGTGCTTGCTGAGAAAACATAGTGTGTTCCTTATCTATTTCCCCTCACATGATTACCAGGCAAACGTGCACGATTCAAACCAGAACAGCCATCATAACATCCTTATCGATGTTTCCTACGGAGCTATAGTGCCTGCCAGAGAGTTCCAGGTCCGAATCGCCACAACGCACATCCACATGTTTCAAACTTGTCACACGTCGTGTCACAGGATTCACAGACGTAGATCAGGAATGACGCCTAATGCGCGGATTCATCCATGTTTATCGGCTTCGTTCCTCGACCTTTATAAGCAACGTTTTAGTCTTCCAGAGACATCCGCTTTCTCGTCGACGGAGCTTGTGCATGTGGCATCTGCATGTGCTCTAGCTCGTCTTTCAAATCATAAGAATTCTCCGAAAGCGCTAAACTCAACGCTTTTGCTTTACGCATTGATTCAAGCAGTGACAGGCAGCTGAGGAAAAATGGCTTCAGGGAGAACAGCACTGGTGGCTTCAGTGTTGCTGAGCTGCATTATCGTGTCATCTGCCTTCAATGTCACCACCATGCTGGACAAGTTCCCCAGCTTCAGTGAGATGAATAAGCTCTTGTCATCGTCAGGTGTTGCCGAGGAGATCAACTCCCGCAAGTCTCTCACTCTCTTGGCTCTTTCAAACGATGTGCTGACTGCGTTCACTGCCAGCAACCCGAATGTGGACGCCGTCAAGCTCGCAGATCTGTTGCGATACCATGTCCTCCTGCAGTTCCTGGGGATGGACGACCTGAAAGCCCTGCCCACTGACAACTACACCGCCGTCACCACTCTCTACCAGACCACCGGGAGAGCCAACGACAACGATGGATTCGTTAACATCTACAACCTGCCATCCGGAATCCTCGTCGGGCCCTCAGTCGCAGGCTCCAGCTCCAACGCCACAGTCGCAACCAACATCACCAACGAGGCCTTCGATATCAGCATCATCCAGATCAACAGTATCCTCACTCCTGTGGGCTTCAACACGGCCACGGGCGATCTGATCAAGGTGCTCGAGACGTTCAAGGACTACACCATGTTCATCAGCCTGCTCAAGGACTCCGGAGTCGACAGCATCTTCGCAGGAAGGCAGACCGGAGGAGGAATCACAGTGTTCGCTCCCACCGATTCGGCATTCAATGGCCTCACCTCCGCCTCTCTCCAAGCTCTCAGCGTCACCGACCTGAAGCTGCTGATGCAGTACCACGCTCTGACCTCATACCAGCCCCTGGACATCCTGCAAAACATGGTGGACTCGCCCGTGTCCACCATCGCCTCCACCATCGCCTCCGGCTACCTTCTGAACGTGAGCTCCGCCGTCATGACTGTCACTCTGCACACGGGAGTGAACGACGCCAAGATCATCGAAACGTTGTACGACGCCAGGCCCGTCACCATGTTCGGCATCGACGCAGTTCTGCTGCCCGCCGAGCTCTTCAGCAAAGATGCCCTGGTCCCGACGCCCGCCGAAGCGCCCGTCCCCGAAGCGTCGGCCCCCGACGCTGCCCCCGAAGCGGCACCCGGCCCTGAGAAGCCTGCCGGCTCACCTGCCAGCGTGGTCAAGATGAGCGTAGCTCTGTCCGCGGTGGCGATGATCGCCTCGTCCCTCGTGGCAGCTTTGTAAGAACGCAAACGCTCCACTCCCACAGATTTTGGAGAATCCAAAGGAAATTCTTTTGTCCCAATTGGAGGGATGCAATAAATTGATTTTAGGTAGCTTAGTTACGTGCTTGGTCGCTCGATGGGAAGCGCTGTCAGATAGATTTGGGTTCATTCTCACGAGAAAACCATCTGTCCTTCACGTGCCGTCGAAATAAATTGTACAATGTCTTTTCCTTCTCAAGCTTCAGGCTCCAGATGTCTTCAAGTTTTAGTCTTGTTTCCTGTGGTTCCTGTGGTTGCAATTGGCACTACTATGAGCTGGACTCGCATATTGCTCGAAATTCCCGGCCATCACGACCACAGGGTTCATCAATTGAGCGATAGCAGATCCGACGAGCAATCACTGGGACTATCTATGGGTTTCAAAATGACATGCCATCGGGCCTATGACTGCCACGGATTCATTATCACAAACGTAGTTGCAGAACCATCATGGTTGAGGAGCCATGCTTTGTAAGTCCAGAGTGTTTCAGACACTTTCCAAATTGTTTGGTCCATTGCTGTTAACAAAACCTGAGCCGGACAAAGTTTCTAGCGTGGCACGAAATCATAAATCGCAGTGAAGTGCATGGCAACATATTCCTAGTCCTAGATGTGAAAGATCCTGAAAATTTCTTTCTGTAACAAGAAGGGACTGTCCAAGTACAATTGCTGCATAAGCTTCCATTTTACAGGAGGCAATCTCCAGCGTAAGACGGACCTCCCTAAAAGACGACGGATCAGACTAGACAGAGTCAGGAGTAGGATAAATGTCTACTGTACTCCACACGGTGGACTAGCGTACAGAGGGACGCATATTTTCAAAACTGATCCATACGATGTCCCGTATGTGCCTTGGAATCAACGTGCATGTGAGATGCCGATGTCTTACTTTGGGATCAGACAGCGAGCGTTTTGTCAGGGCCGGGTGTCCTTATTCTGTTCCAGTATCCATCAGCAGCAAAGTATCGACCAACAATTACCAAAAACATACCAGCCAACTTCTCAGAGTACAATCGACGTCTCCGTAACTTCGTCATCTTGAAGTTAAGTTCCATAGTTATTTTACTCAAGGACTTCGAAATGTTCTTAAGGAAGCCAGCAAGACTTTCCTCAGGAAAGCAATAGGACTAGGATCAAAACATACCTGATTGCCTTGCAGGCGTTGGTCGAAACAGATCACATCTGTAGCAGGACAGGTTAGGAACATTCAAAACCGTTAAAAATTAATGACGGATAGTTATGACCCTAACCCGACTCTAGATATTTTCCTTGATGACAACCTCACGAATATTGCTGTACTCTCATTTTCCAGTAATGTATGCTATCTGCGCCAATGCATCGGATTTGCATCTATCTAATTATTCATGTCTCTAATGCCATCTCGAAATTCCTCGCCAAAATAAAATTGCCTTTTACCCGCATCTACCTTTCCTTGACACTGAAGGGGCGGGCACAGGGAAAAGATAAGTCAAAAGTCTTGGGGATCCTTTTTCTAAAATAATGTCACTGGATTTATGATAGAAGAAAACTAGAAGGAGAAAAGCTTTTCTGAAATCAGTAGTTTGTTGTGCCATAATATTCTTGAAGAATGTTAAAGTCGCACCAATGCCTAAGGCCCTGCTCCTGAACACCATGCACAAGTATCTCCTCATCCTCTACCATTTTTTATTCTACCAGAGATGTGAAGTGTCATTCTCTCTTAGCGCTGCATAGATATAGGAGGATTACAGAAGTGTTATACGGCTGTGCTAGAATAAAATTTCACTGGAATATGATGTATGTGCACATGCTTCACTTATTTCTTCATTATCTTGATGAGCTTTGATCAACGTATCAGATTTGAAAATTGAAGTTGATCGCTTATAGTCTAGCGGCATACCACTGAGTTTCTGAGCAGAGGTTCCAGCTTCAAATTTAGAAAATCCAGCAAACCATAGGTCAAAGACCATTGCATTCATGAAACTTGGTGCTCATGAATCTGCCATTTGAATATAATTATGAATAAATAAATTATTTATAAGAAATTTACAACGTTTCACTTCAACCTCAGTATAACACTCCAGAACCAGAAGAGATCAAAAGTTCAGTGATTAACTTGAGTTTACGGGTTGATATTTCAGCTAATTTCATCTCCAGATATGCAACCTAAATCATATTTGAAATATACAACATAGAAATTGTACTTCATGCCTAGCATCAGACATGAAGGACAATGAATCAATGAAGGACATTGAATCATAGTTTCCAATTGTGCACGTTTATGGTGTGTCAGTTGAAGAAAATTTGTGGTATTTTTTCAATCGAGTGCTGACTAATCCGTAAGTATGTCTCAATCTGCATTGTTAGCGTCTTCATGACAAAAGTTCCAGCATGGAACTTGTCATATTTTCAAGGTACATATCCACGTACTTCTGAATCCAATTTCACAACAACGAACCCCAATATCTTTTATGTTTGGGAATCAAGACTGTTTATCGTACTGTAAGAACCATTTAAAGCTAGCACGTAATAGTTCTAGGAACGCCCATTCTCTCACCTTGGAGCCCTCTATTCTTGCTCGTCCACGAGCTGAACAACAAATTCTCTGGGAATACTTTAATGAAGAGGATTCTTAACACCCAGAGAGAGACTCTTGCCTTTTGACCTGTGCAATTGCTGCGACGTTGAACACGGAAGTGGATGACGCTAACGTGTGCTCAGAATCGACGCTGTTCTTTGCTCGCTGAGCTCTTCTGCAAAGATGCTCTGTTGTTCACGCTGCCTAGGCACCGTTAGCACTCCAGCACTCAGCATCTGGCCTCGTAAAGCCAGCCAGACCACCTGCTAGAGTAGCCAGTCGATGATGGGGATGATGGCCTCTTCCTTCGTGGCAACCTCCATGAGACAATTTTGAGGGAGCTGGGTCGTGGGGATGCATGTACTCAGTAGTTTGTCACCTGTCAACATTTTTGCAATTCCAATAATTCATCCGATTTTTGAACAGCAAACCCTTTGGATACATCATGGATGGATGCAAAGACTCTAGTCATTAGCACTTGAAGATGATAGCTGGCAAACATTTTGCTCATGAAAATTCATATCAATAGACAACGAGGTATCATTGGACACCTCACAATAAGCTTTCGTTCATCTTTGATAGACTGGAGCAAAGATTGACCTCGGAACTGTAGACCAGGCTCGCGATCCTTCTTGTTTAATAAAGTGTATGAGGCAGCCCTTACAAAGATCTGCTCTTGAGATAAGCAAGATAATCAGATTGTAGAAATAAAGAGCCAGTGCTCATGATAATGGAACTATCATTAGCTTGTCGGGAGATTCTATCATTTGATATTGATATTCTTTCTGGTTGGTGTATGGGAGACACCTGAACATTTCCAAAGACGATCTACAATCACGTCTCCTTCCTCGTGCCATCAGATTTCTAAACGATATCTGGTTCTTGATATGACGCTAAAGTGCATTCTAAGAAAGGTCAGTAAAGAGACTTGCCAGGAGATACCAGAGCAATGTTCAAGACAAAGCTCAGCAAATACAACCCATTATACACTATCCTTGAGAATCTAGAAAGATTTCCAGGCAGAAGCATTTGAATAGTGGGTTTCAGTGCACACTTGATTCCGGTAGAAAATCTATGTTCTTTCAATATTATGATCTTGACAAGCTAGAAAAATTGACAAAGTAGTTGACTCTCATATCAATTGAAGTAGGGATCAGGTCGACTGATAAAATTTCAACATTACTATTCTTATTCAGATATACGAATGATGCAAATAAGTTTTTCATTCATTAATAGACTAATGAATATCAAGATACTCACAGGAAAGAGAAAAGTATACCAGGTCGAAATATCACGGATATAATCAAATCAGATTGACATTTCTGTCCTATATTGCTCCTCGCTAACCTAGAACTAGAGGCTGTACTTTGACAATTTTCAAATCTCTGAGACTAAACCTCTGTGAATCACACTTGTCGCCATCCAATATTTGATTAAAAAAAACCTCCTCGTTCGACAACAGTTATTTCCGAACCTGAACGTTAACGTAATTGATTGGTAGAGACAAAAGCTATTATTTCGTGATGTGAATTGTGAAGCTGAACTTACTTCATGGAAATTTTGTCCTGGAATGAGAGAACTCATCTGCTCAACACTTGAGAAGAGTAAGGAAGAACATTGAATGCTTGGTGTGACCTTGGGTCATTTTTTCATCCCCAGCCATCTAAGGTAGAAATTTCCAAATAAACTAGAAAAAATCATCTGAGTTTACCACCAACTCCGGAATCTTAAACTTGCATCCTAATGGTTGTTTCCATGTCGTTGACTCACGGTGAAGGATCTAGCATCTGAATCACCGTACAAATCTAGAAAACCTCTCCTATGTTGCCCCTGGATTGGTGGTACACGGATGCTGAGTTGAGGCTTTCATGCCGTGGCCACAACCGACAACAATTGCTCGCTACCTACATGCTTCAATAGAAATGACTTCAGCCCATTCATTGGACAGGAGTGGGGTCAGTTTCGTGTTCACGGGCTAAAGACCTCGTTAGCATGCTCTTCAATGGTACAGAGTTACTGTGCAGATACGTTTCTCAATCTCCTGTTCCCATTAACCAGCTAAAGTCAAAGTCGGTAGGTCCGTAGTGTAATTTTGACAGATAGTCCCCGGAAGAAGTCGTGGAAGCTAACAGGAAGACGTTGTAAATATCGCATGTGCTGAACTGGATCGGACATCTGTACTTCTATGAAGCCGATCGAGCTTTTGCAGTTTTTAAGGTCCTTATCCATGTCAGCTGTGCAGTATTTGTCTACACATCCCACACACTTCCGACTTTAATGCCGCCTCGTAATCGTTTGGTCATATCTTCGCAATGTCATTTCCGTTTCAAGTCGTGTAGCACAGGCACCAGTCAATAGTGATCATTTGAAATGAGATCCAGGATAAACGGATCCGTGGTCATTGGGTCCATACGACCTTTATAAGAAAAAGTTTGGGTGCGAATGAACATCATCTCTCTCACCTTCGGAGCTTGTGCATGTGCCTTCTGCATATGCTCTAGCTCGTCTCTCACACCACACCCTTCACATTCATTTCAGCAGCTCTCTGAACTACCTTGCACTTAGATTTATCGACCGCGTTTGGATTCTAACTTCATTCGTAGGAAAAGAGGTTTCAGGTATCATGGCTTCAGGAAGAACAGCTTTGGTGGCATCCGTGCTACTGAGCTGCATCGTCGTTTCGTCTGCCTTCAACATCACCACCATGCTGAATCAGTTTCCCAGCTTTAGCCAGATGAACCAGCTCTTGTCTTCGTCCGGAGTCGCCAACGACATCAACGCTCGCAAGTCCATCACTGTCTTGGTTGTTTCCAACGATGTACTCAATGCATTCACCGCCAGCAACCCCAACGTCGACACTGTCAAGATGGCCGACTTATTGCGTTACCATGTCCTCCTGCAATTCTTGGGAATGGACGAGCTCAAAGCACTGCCCACTTCCAATTACACCTCCGTCACCACTCTCTACCAGACCACTGGCAGAGCCAACAACAACGACGGATTCCTCAACATCTACAACCTGCCATCCGGCTTTCTCATCGGGCCCTCGGTCGCGGGCTCCAGCTCCAACGCCACGGTCGCAGCCAACATCACCCACGAGGCTTTCGAGATTAGCGTCATCCAAATCAGTAGCATCCTCACCCCGGTCGGATTCAACAGCGCCACCGGAGATCTGATCCAGGTTCTCACGAAGTTCAACGTCTACACCATGTTCATCAGCCTGCTCAAGGAATCAGCAGTCGACAGCATCTTCGCAGGCAGGCAGACCGGTGGAGGAATCACCGTGTTCGCCCCCACGGACTCGGCCTTCAACAGCCTCGCCTCCGGATCCATCCAAGGCCTCAGCGTCTCGGACCTGAAGCTGCTGATGCAGTACCACGCTCTGACCTCGTACCAGCCCCTGAGCGTTCTGCAGAACATGGTGAACTCGCCCGTGTCCACCATCGCCTCCACCATCGCCTCCGGCTACCTTCTGAACGTGAGCTCCGCCGCCAAGACTGTAACTCTGCACACGGGAGTGAGCGTCGCCACCATCCAGGAGACTCTGTACGACGCCACGCCCACCACCATGTTCGGCATCGACCAAGTTCTCTTGCCCTCGGAGCTCTTCAGCAAAGCCGCCCTGGTCCCTTCTCCTGCTGAGGCTCCCGTCCCCGAGGCTGCCCCTGGCCCTAAGGAGGCTAAGGCTCCCGGTGCGGCTCCCGACGCTGCTCCCGGACCTGAGAAGCCAGCCGGATCAACTGCCAGTGTGGTTTCTATGAGCGTAGTTGTATCCGCGGTTGCTCTCATCGCCTCGTCGTGCCTTGCAGTTTTGTAAGAAAGTAGCAAAGTCATACAAGTCTGAATTCAATCATTCATAGTTAACTTTCAATTTAAACCATTCTTTGCATGGGAATCTTATCAAACTCCCCTCTGAATAGGTTGAGGTCCTGGTCAGAGGAGTGCAATAATTCGGTTCTACTCGAGCGTAGTGTATGGTAGAATATTTCTGAAAATATATTTTCCTCAATAGAGTTGCGGTTTCATTTTTCAAGACCACGGGGATCGAAGTTGTACAGCGGACTCCGCATCTCGTTGAGCATTGTTAAGCTGAAAAACTAGTGAACAATTAGTCAATAAAGAAAGAAATAACATCATATTCTATTGCCGTCCTATCTTGTGGTGATTTTGAGTCACTAAAGAGATTTCCGAGTGAATTGCTTGCTAAAGTTTGTGAATTTATTTTAAACTTGCAATTTGAAGAGAGGCTAATGTATAGTCAAATCTTCACAGACACGTTTAATGTAGCTCGGAGAGTATCAAGTAGACAGTCAATGACTCTCATCCAAATTACTATGTATGCTAAATTTTGGATGATTATTGCTTCTCATTTTAGTTTAGAAGTTGTCAGATTCTGTAGATCAGCACATGTTCATTAATATGCTAACTGTAAAATAGATATCTTGGAAAACAATATTTATTCTCTTTTGGTTTAAATAAATATAATTTTTTACTCTTTTACTGGACATGCGAGTAGAATCAGATATATTTTAAGTTTTGATTGCAAATAGTTATAATCGAGTTATATCTTCACACTGATAGAGTCTAAACACTGTCATCGGAATACGTGCATGATTAAAGACATTCGCCTCGTGCTATAATGAAAAGTGAAATATTATCTTGAAGAATTTGATAGCCTGAAACAGTAGAAAGAAATCAACGTGCCCAACAATCATTGCTTCCACGGAATATTCGAATTACAATTCTTGCTGGCAGCATGCACGTACATAAAGTCATGGTTTATTTCTATCCATGTGACTAACTGTACCAATTTGTTCTCCCTAGACTTGCAGCTTCGAGCCGCCTCATCAATTTTGGGAGCGTGTTGAACATACTATCCAATTGTGTTTGAAGCGAGAAAAGTCAAGGAGTTCCCAAGATAATCATAAATTACATATTCATGCGTGGTCTGGGAACTGTATAACATGCATAATCTTGGACTGCAAAAAGTTAAGAAATCTTCTGAATTTTCATCACTAAAATGCTTCATGGCATCATCTTCCGAGTTCGGTATGGCCCATTCCATGTGCTCCGCTTGCAAGTCACTCTTTCTAGATTTTCCGGAATTCCATGCATGTCTTAACTGCTCCCATTATGTACCCAACGTAGCAACGATAGATTTCGCGATATTTTGAGGGCTTATATATCTTCCTTCAGCTCCTCACAATGGAGGCCTCAAACAGCTGCTAGCTGATAAGTAAATGACCCTTAATGCACTCCACCAGACCAGCGGCAGAGGCAACAAGAACGAAGGCTTCCTGACCATCTTGAACACACCGAAGTTCTCATCGGCTCCTCAGTTCCAGGTTCCAGCTAGAATCCAGAGGTGCAACCAATATCGTTTAGTGCAAAGCTTAATTTGGACCTCAGCATCGTTCATCTTACCAGCATCATTGCCCAGTAATCTCAACTCTACACGGGAGACCTGCTCATGTTTCTCGATAAGGTCAACGTTTACACCATGTTCATCTGATTCCGAAAGGACTGCCAAGTGAAGAAACGCATTCGAGTAAGAAGTGTTTAATTAGTTCAATGGATCATGCGAAGCCTAAAGTGCCATGGGACACATGGAACAGTGATCGTACTAAGTGTTCGCAAGGGTTCACCTTTCAAGGGCCTCCTCTCCGCATTCATTCGACTCATCCGAAAATGCTGATGTAATGGCATTCTCAGTTTATACCATTGAAAGATGTGTACATCTTGATTATCAATTTATAATCTCAAGTCCAGAATACTGCTTCCACATCCCCCGGCCTAATTTTTGAACGTGAGCTCAGCCTCCAAGACTGTGACGTTGCATACGGAAGTGGATGACACTAAATCGTTGATAATGTGCTAGTCCATACCTGTGAACGTGTTCGGAATCGACGCTGTTCTTCTGTTCGCCGAACTCTTATACAAAGATGCTCTGGTCCAGCGCTGCCTTGGCACCCTCAGTACCTGGCCTCGTAAAGCCAGCCAGACCAGCTGCTAGAGTATCCAGTTGATGATGGGGATAATGGCCTCTTCGTTCGTGGCAACCTCTATGAGACAATTGTTAGAGAGCTGGGTCGCGGAAATGCATGTACTCATGTCACCTGTCAACGGTTTTGCAATTGCAATATTTCCTTCAATAATTGAACAGCAAACCCATTTGATTCATCATGGACGGATGCAAAGACTTTTGATTGTGCATCTCCAGCCCGAAGAATATCAACACAGCGCCCTGGCTAGATGGTGACGGTATTTTGAGCGTAAATATCACTTGGATTGGCACATGGAGGTGATAGCTGGCAAGCATTTTGTCCTGAAAATTCAAATCATAGACAACCATATGACCATTGAACTATCGAATTGATATCATTGGACACCTCAAATCACCCGTCATTCATATTTGAAGGTCTGGAGAGAGTGTAGTGTAGAGCGTCTTTGGAACTAAAAACCAAACTCGCGGTCTCTTTTCTTAGATAAAGGATATGAGACAAGCCTTGCAACAATTTGCTATAGAGTTGAGTAAGAAAAGCAGATTGTAGAAATGAAGAGCCACTGACATGATACTAGAATTATCATTAGGTTGTTTGTAGACATTCTCATTCAACAAATCACGTGTATGGTGGTGTATGGACGGCCACCTGAACGTCATATTAGTGAAGAGCCATCAGTTTGGTCTACACTTCCAATGATAATCTCTGCTCCCCTCTCCCTCCTTAGGTGTCCTCAGGTATTTCAGATATGCATTCTAAGAAAGGTCACTGAAAGGACTTACCAGGAGATATCAGATACCTGTTCAACGCAAAACTCACAAAATAGAACCCATCATAAACTATCATTATCACAGAGAGTCTACAAACATTTTCTAACAGAAGCATTTGAAGAGTAAATAATAATCGATACTTATCCTGATTTCGGTAGAGATAATCTACATCAAATTGATGTAGTACATGGCTCTCGTATTCAAATGTAAGGATGAAATCGGTTAATAAAATATCGACAAGTTTAATCTCATAAAGTTAAACGAATAACGCATGAGGTCCTCATTTGAATGATAGAGATAACTTTAAGATCCCTTCTCAGAAAAGAGAAAAATATATAGAGATCAAAAAAGTGGTATATCACAAGTTTTTTGATGGGATCTAGTTATAAAATCGCTTTGTTATCATATTCTGTTGTTCCTCCTCTGTTGTTGTTCACGACCACAGAACCTAAAAAAACCTTTGAAAATTTAACCGAAGGTCCATCCGCCCTTTACTATTTGTCACAATTCGATGTTTGATATAAAATATTCCTCCGCAAAAATTTTATTACTGAAATTTTGTGATATTATATAGTATGAACCACAAGAAAATATTTTCTGACTTGTATTCTGAAACTGAAATTTCTTCATGGATCTTTTCATCCAAAAAGATAGACTGACTCTGCTCAAACTAAGAGAAAGGAAAATCATTGACTGCTTAGTGTGAACTTGGAGCACTTTAATGGCACCAGCAGTTAGTAGTAAACTTCCAAAAAAGACTTGAAAATATACAGTCAGGAGTATTGTAGCTGCCTTCTAATTGCTGTATATATTAATTGCTGTCATTATTCAACTGGATGTTTCCATCCGGCCGACTTCTAGTTAAGGATTTATTATCTGACACACCAAATAAAACTACAAATCCTCTCGTAGGAACAATGCAAATCAATGACCCAATGTCACCAGCTGGATTGTACGCACATGGATGCTAAGTTGAGGCTTTCATGCCGTGGCCACAACCGACAACAATTAGTCGCTGCCTACAATCTACTACAGAAATGACTTGAGCCCATTAACTGGACCGGAGTGGGGTCAGTTTCGTGTTCACGGGCTAAAGAGCTCGCTAGCATGCACTTCAATGGTACAGTGTCACTATGCAGATCCTTTTCTCAATCTCCTGTGCCCATTAACCAGCTAAAGTTAAAGTCGATAGGTCCGTAGTGTAACTTTGACAGATAGTCCCCGGAAGAAGTCGTGGAAGCTAATAGGAAGACGTTGTAAATATCGCATGTGCTGAACTGGATCGGACATCTGTACTTCTATGAAGCCGATCGAGCTTTTGCAGTTTTTAAGGTCCTTATCCATGTCAGCTGTGCAGTATTTGTCTACACATCCCACACACTTCCGACTTTAATGCCGCCTTGTAATCGCTTGGTCATATCTTCGTAATGTCATTTCCGTTTCAAGTCGTGTAGCACAGGCACCAGTCAATAGTGATCATTTGAAATGAGATCCAAGATAAACGGATCCTTCCGTGGTCATTGGGTCCATACGACCTTTATAAGAAAAAGTTTGGGTGCGAATGAACATCATCTCTCTCACCTTCGGAGCTTGTGCATGTGCCTTCTGCATATGCTCTAGCTCGTCTCTCACACCACACCCTTCACATTCATTTCAGCAGCTCTCTGAACTACTTTCCACTTAGATTTATCGACCGCGTTTGGATTACTGCTTCATTTGTAGGAACAGAGGTTTCAGGTATCATGGCTTCAGGAAGAACAGCTTTGGTGGCATCCGTGCTACTGAGCTGCATCGTCGTTTCGTCTGCCTTCAACATCACCACCATGCTGAATCAGTTTCCCAGCTTTAGCCAGATGAACCAGCTCTTGTCTTCGTCCGGAGTCGCCAACGACATCAACGCTCGCAAGTCCATCACTGTCTTGGTTGTTTCCAACGATGTACTCAATGCATTCACCGCCAGCAACCCCAACGTCGACACTGTCAAGATGGCCGACTTATTGCGTTACCATGTCCTCCTGCAATTCTTGGGGATGGACGAGCTCAAAGCACTGCCCACTTCCAATTACACCTCCGTCACCACTCTCTACCAGACCACTGGCAGAGCCAACAACAACGACGGATTCCTCAACATCTACAACCTGCCATCCGGCTTTCTCATCGGGCCCTCGGTCGCGGGCTCCAGCTCCAACGCCACGGTCGCAGCCAACATCACCCACGAGGCTTTCGAGATTAGCGTCATCCAAATCAGTAGCATCCTCACCCCGGTCGGATTCAACAGCGCCACCGGAGATCTGATCCAGGTTCTCACGAAGTTCAACGTCTACACCATGTTCATCAGCCTGCTCAAGGAATCAGCAGTCGACAGCATCTTCGCAGGCAGGCAGACCGGTGGGGGAATCACCGTGTTCGCCCCCACGGACTCGGCCTTCAACAGCCTCGCCTCCGGATCCATCCAAGGCCTCAGCGTCTCGGACCTGAAGCTGCTGATGCAGTACCACGCTCTGACCTCGTACCAGCCCCTGAGCGTTCTGCAGAACATGGTGAACTCGCCCGTGTCCACCATCGCCTCCACCATCGCCTCCGGCTACCTTCTGAACGTGAGCTCCGCCGCCAAGACTGTAACTCTGCACACGGGAGTGAGCGTCGCCACCATCCAGGAGACTCTGTACGACGCCACGCCCACCACCATGTTCGGCATCGACCAAGTTCTCTTGCCCTCGGAGCTCTTCAGCAAAGCCGCCCTGGTCCCTTCTCCTGCCGAGGCTCCCGTCCCCGAGGCTGCCCCTGGCCCTAAGGAGGCTAAGGCTCCCGGTGCGGCTCCCGACGCTGCTCCCGGACCTGAGAAGCCAGCCGGCTCAACTGCCAGTGTGGTTTCTATGAGCGTAGTTCTGTCCGCGGTTGCTCTCATCGCCTCGTCGTGCCTCGCAGCTTTGTGAAATTTTGTATAGTATTATTTGGTCTTGGTCGTTTTGGAATAACTTAGATACTTCATTAAAACTCACAATTATAGTTGTATTTTTTCCTGGCAGAAATTCTTTGTCCCAATTGAAGGGATCGATTTGACGATTCTAGATTAGCGTAGATAATAGTACTTTAACTTCATACATCTGTTTTTTGAAAAAATGCTAGCTCAATAAATTAAATTGCCTGCTGGAATGAATATTTACTGCCAACGCCTGCTTCAAAGTCTTCAACCCGTCCTTTATAGTTAACTGAGTTCTCTTCTAAGATACTGAATGTCATGTATGTTCGATTACGAGAACTCTCTGGATGGATGGAGCGCGGTTGAGAAGAGTCTTAACCCGAGTCAAAATTACTTTAAAGATGATCGTTGATAGAGAGGACCAGAATCTTAGAATGCATTAATCACCACAATGAATGATCGTTGATAAAGAGACGATATGAAAAAAGGAGAAGTTGGTTATCTGATTTATATCTGATTAATTTCATGATACACGACGTCAACAGCTAAGGGGCAACGCGTCACTAGAAGAAACCATGATAACAGTTTACATGCAATTTCAAGAGCCTGTCAAAGTCCTAATTTTCTAAAATTAGGCAAATTTGCATCCTTGTATATTTTGGATTGGAAAGCTTTGCGGGATGTAAACGTGAAGATTATTTTGGAGTAATGCACAAGTATAAACTAGACCGATATGAAGAATTAAAGGATTCAAAACGGTTGAACGCTAGGCTGGAAGAGTGGAGAATCTCAACAGACGCTGGCAAGCACTAAAACTAAGCTGAGAAATATTTGAATCAGCAAAAATGTGGAGATTTGAAGACTGACAGTTAAAGAAGCACCATATGCGGAAGCATTTGATGTCTTCTTAAAACCCGGCTACTTGAGGTGAAGATGAAACATTATCATCAGTTGGCAGTTGTGTCTAAAAGGTGTTTTCATAACTAGCTTGAGATGTGCGAAGACACCGAGTCGGAGCGATTGATCCAAATACAAAAGTTGATGAGATTTTTTGGATAAGACTGACAAGTCTGCGCAAAATATATGCAAACTAGTGGGCAGAAAATGTATGGAGTCAATCCTTCATTTGTGCAGCAAAATGTTCAAGAGGATTGCAACAAGTGCAAGTGGTGTGTAGACAGGTTTGTAGCAAAGTTAGAACTGGCACATTGCTATCTTGGATGTCCGTTCAATTTTTCTAGAAATTAGTATTTGAGCTGAATTGTATGAATGGAATCAAGACTAATTCTACAATCTTTTTTGTTTTGCAAACATTTGATTGTGCAATTGTAGGCTAAGAGAAAATGAAAAAAAATTTGAAAGACTATGTTAAAATACTTTGTTTAATTTTTAAATATAACTGATTACTAGTGAAATAGAATGGTTGAAACAAATTTCAAAATTTTCTGATTGTAAATTTCTAGATAGTGGAAAATAATATTAATGGCTATGAACGGTAAACAACTGTGTTGAATTACCTCACATTCTTAAAAATGAAATCTAAATTCTTATATTTTGAAAACTATTTTTCTAATACATAATATTACATCATACTTACAAGATCATAGAAACATCATAACTTCAATATCATCAGAATTAATTACCATGTGTATCCAAATAGATAATGAATCATGTGAATGAATTATTAATCAATAATAGTTCACATTTATATTAAGTAAACATGTAAATGAACCAATGAAAAATATTAAAAAATAATTTAAAAATAATATTAATTAAAAAGTATAAATCAAGATAAGCCAAAATTTCCGAGATTATATTTACATTATTTTCAATTTTAAAAAATTAATTTTGGAAACATCAGATAGCTACAAATTTGCATAAAATTAATCAAGAAATTTAAAAATTCATGAAATTAAAATAAATCATGTATTAATTTAAATAATTAATCATATAATTATGTAATAATATTAAATTTTGGCTTAAATATTAATTAAATATAATTTATCAAGCTATATTTTATAACATAAGTTTAATTGATATAATTTATGCTGTATCTTTTTTAAGATTTAAAAAATTTTCGAAATATATTTTTTTATCATTAATCTTACGTATAATACAAAAAGAAATCTATTTGCAATCAAAAATTGATCAAATGACAAATAAGTAGAATAGCTTTACATTTCATGTTTTGAGTTAGTATTATGAATACCACATACACATAAAAAATTTTAAAAAAAATAATCCCAAATTTTATTTCACAGAGTGAAAAGTATCATATACTATTATTATTCCTAAAGGTTTCTTGATTGGAATAAAATAAATTTCAAACATGATGATAGTAATTTATATGAAATAGACATGATGTGAACAAATTTGTTGGATGAATAAGCATATTAAATTTTACATCAAAATAAAAACATGTGTATGAAATGTATTTTGGACGCGAGATGAGTTATAGTAAGATAAAATGTTAAGTTACAATTGAATCGAGAAGAGACTATTTAATTGGAATCTTAAAAAAGTGAGAAATGACTTCAGATATCAAGCTTTAGATGCTTACATTTTTGCATATTTAAAATATGAAGACTGATGTTCAAGTGAAAATTTCATGCAATCTGATTGTTAGATCATACTTTACATAATCTCCTGAGGAATAAGTAGCAACACCTGATACGGTAAAAATAATAGTGAAGCAAGAAAAAAATTAGATATGAGCAGAATTTAGTTAAAATATTCTTAATGTCTATCTACAATACAACTCAATCCGGATGTATATTTAAATAGCTTCAATATCCAATAATATTGCTTCAGAACTGCATGGTTTTACACATTGAAACTAATGTTTACAATGATAAATGACCTCATCTAAATAATATGTCGCATTTAGAAATGTTCAATACAGTATCAATCTGTCGAATGTTTTTAGTGTTCATTTACTGTTGCAAGTAACTGACTAGCAGAGCCCGACATTGGGTGCCCATGCCCAAACCCACCCATGCCCATGGGTTTTGGGTGACATTATTTTTCCATGGGTGGACACAAGTAATGCTATGGGCAGTGTTTGTCAAGATTCAACCAAGTATTTGCCTAATCTGAGTAGCATGAGTGGGCATGGGTGGCACAAGTAATGCTAAGCGTGGGCTTAGGTCGCTGCTGATGGTTATTGTCTGGTCTGGGTGCTGCTGACTAGCACCTAACGTTTAAGTAGATTCTCAGTTTCGCAATCGATGCAACAAACTATTACGAGTTCGTGAATCCAGAAGAGTGATCATATGTCTGAAGGTAATCTGTAATCCAAGATGTTCATGTTTCTTGGGTTGTGCATGATGGTACGAGGAGGTATTGTAAAGACATCTTCTGAATGTGGATAACCCTACAAAGCAACGTCAGCATTTGTTTATTTTCCTCTGATGCATTCATGTACGTTTGATGTTTCACATCACCTTGCCATATCGTTACAAAAGATTTTCTTCAGTTCGCTCGGTCCCGATACAATATGTTCTCTAAAGCAAGATATTTTACTTTCAAATATGGAATCTAGATTTGACAATTCTACAATTACCTTAGTTCTTCATCCAGATTTAATATTTGTTTCTACATCAAATTCAGATCTACGATACAAATCGAACCTAATTCGATGTGACAGAAGTGTCGACTTCAGCGGACTCCGGGATATGTCCCTAAGAGTTGTAAGGGAAGGCTACACCAATTCCAAGAAAGTGTATTCAATACCGCACAAAAACTTAGAAACTACGATGATGATTTCCGAGATGTTCATAAAACTCAAGCAAATCAGAACACAAGGGTAGAAAATACAGCCTGCTTTGATAGGTGTCAGGGTATCTGCAGATAGTCCAAGCTGTGAAATAATGAAACCAACATTCTATAAGCCTCTCAACCATACACTGAAGCTGTCTGTGATCCAATCCGGTTCTATGCTCTTCACTTCAAGAGAATGTTCGAAATTTCCTCGATGATTTGCAAGTCAACTTCTTGACCTCACACCAGTGCGATACACATGTTCAAAGTCGGCAGTGCTTCCACCTCTGCGAAGTCTCTTCCGTCATAATTTGTCTCAAAACATTGGATTTCTTGGATTATCGAACTTAACTAAGACACTGAAACTTTAGAACTCTTCAGAATTTAAACTGAACATGTCCGAAGTAGTCTTTACATGAATGGCATCTAAAATTTCTTCTCTAGATGGAACCGAAGATCATAAAACGCAGGCATACTTCGTACATACTGATCACCGAGACAAACTCCCAAGACACGCAGAAACACAGAGTACAGAAATCATCAATATCTTACAATCAAAGACTGGACGCGTAGAATCATGAAGTTCAAGGACAGTGTCTGTTGGGAGGTCAAGCCTCGCTCTTCTATTTTTTCACCTCTCTTTGAAACCTACCCTGAGTCTTCCACCCTGAGATCTTTCACATAAGGGATGAATGAACAGTTTACCCAACACCTGCTGGGTGGTGTAACAGTGCTACACTTCAAGAGCATGTGCCCAAAGTATGTCCTCACGAATCCTTGTCCAGTGTAAAATACACAAAATTGGACCAAAAGTATCTCCTAATGCAACTATTACACCACCAACCTCCTCTTTACACTATAAATTGGTGCAGGAAATTTGAAAGCAGTCTATCTACCCTACTGTTCAGTAACAAGATAATCTTCCTACAAAACCATCCTCGGTGTGATGAGAAACTACTGACAGTGTCTCATTGAACATAGTGCGGATCAGGGGACAACTTAACACAGAAGTAGATACTACGTCCAATAATAGTGCAGCATCCTCGTAGAATCGTAAGAGGGCGGTGCAGAATCAGAGAATTCGGTGGAGCAAGAGCAGAACAATCACTCCAGAGCAATCCCTTGAACCGTAATCCTCATATCAATCGTACATCGGAAGATACTCTCAATCCATGTAATCGAATAAAATACTGAATATAAAAGTTAGGGCTTTTAGTATTCCATGTACCCTCCTCCACAGAATTTACTCCTTAGACTTTGCTGCATGCAATGGTATAAACAATGAGAGTTGCAGACCTAAAGGCTACTTCTCTGCAATCCATCCGTCCAAAGCAACAATCTCTCCATTCGACCAGTAAAGGAGCAATTCGAGACAAGAATGGTACAGGATGACAGCTCATCTCTGCCTTTGAGCGCCATCGTCCAATCTCGAAATCACAGATTGAACCGGGAAGTTCAATGAATCAAGTGGACAGCTATATCGGTTATGAATGTCGAAGCAACCGTACGTCATGATGCAAGTTTCCGCCGCCTCCGAAATCCCTCTCCACTCCTTGGCACCAGAGGAAAATTGGAAATAAGAGGCTCCGCTTGATCTGCTACAGAGGATGTCCCGCACATGACGATATCAAAACCTGGAGCCTCGGCCCCGAGAAGATCTTTACAATCTATTCTTTCCATCTTGGACCCAAACATCTAAAAGATGCCTGCAATTTGCACTTCGCCTGTTGCAGACATCGCAAGGGGCTCCTCGTCATCTCCAATTGTTGCCGAGACCGGTGATCCTCGCCACACGAGCACAAACTCTCCTCAACTCGGCAATCACCGCCTGCAGCTCTGTGATGTCCTCCAACAGAGCAATTTGCCATGCATCCCACTGAATCTCTCGTTGGGCCACGGGATCAGGCGGAAGAATGCGTATCCGTTCATGATAATGCCTCACAGTTCGCTTGCAAAACCGCGCACGGAGCTGTACAGTTCGCACGACAGGTCGAGTGTAGGCACCCATCTCGGAGACGCGAAGCAACTGAATCCGATCAAAGTCGTAATTGTTGTTCGCCACAAGAGATTGCGAGCGTGGGCAGCTTCCCCATGAAAAGAGATCGAAAGCTGGACCAACCCCAGAGCTTTTCCAGGGCCCCTCCCTCAGAGGCTGCAATCCCTTTCCACCGCATTCTAAGTTAGGAAAAAGAGCTCAGCTTTTCTCTGGCCTTCTTTTTGCCCTCGCCGTGCTGCTCATCAGTGCACCAAAGGGCCCAAAGGTCCAAATATGCCACAAATTCTGCTTCCTTTTTCCTGTTTTTTTCTCAATTTTGGCATCCTTCGAATATCGTTTTCCTAACCACTGTTGCGCATATGCGCAATTTCACATTTTATATTTTTAATTTTTACTTATGACTCTGAGAACACTCATAGCCTATGAGTGTTCTCTGGGCTTGAGTGTAAACAAGTCGAATTACAGCCATGGATTTCAAAGTCACTGCTTGGAAGACAAGTGAATGTATTGATGCTCTTCAATATGAGTTTTGAATTTCTAGGAGCAACTTGATTGATTGCTTCTCTCTATACTCCCTTCGTTCTGATCATTCCAACAATCTGTGATTATGAAAATATAAACAAGTCACTTGAAAGTTTTATGATTGACAATTGAAATGAACTTTGAATGTTAAAAATAAGAATGTCTTTTTACCCTTTGTGTGTGGCAACTTCAGTATCTAATTTTGGTGGAGAACTTGAAAAAAAATTAGTCATCCAAATTATGATTCAGCTAGTTGATTGATACTTAAACTTGGACAGAATAAGATGGATGTACACCGTTCTACGATGTGGCGATAAGAGGTGTTGATTTAAGGAGCTTTTCAGGAGGTAAATGGCTTCTGAAGAGTTTACTCAAAACTAAGAATTTTCGACTGGAATTTGTAGTGTACTAACATTTGTTTAACTTTTACGAGAAATTTCTAAAAAATCACGCTCTTTTAGATATGCACCGAGTATCAAATGTTTAGGCGCTTTATAACGTGCAAGATCAATACACAATCTATCTTCTGAATTGCATGAATGCCAAACACCAACTATTAGAGTGCCATTGTAGATCTCTTCACTAAACCTGTCATCAATTCAGAGAAATCTACACTGATAGCTGAGTTTTTAGCTAAAATCATCCTATCTTGATATAATGTTCACTCATTATGGTCATTCCAGTACTGGGTTCTGAAGACTCATCTACGTGGAGGAACTGTTTGGTCAGACGAACCAAATCATGTGTGGCACGGTACGAACGTGTGAAAAGTGTAAAACAAGGTCTATGTTCCAAACCTTACTCCACGTTCTCAACTATGGATTGCTCTATTTCGGCTTTTCCAAGTCGTCTGATGATGAATTCAAAGGCAGGAAATGGGTAGGTGACACATGACGATTGTGTGCAGATAGTCCATGTTGAAGGCAAGTCTCGACCTGGTCCGAATACTTTCGTAGGGTGTGTTATTTACATCTTTTGGAGACCCTCCGATTTCTAGGAGAACGAACATAATCCGTGGGCTCGGATACCGGAAGCTAGTCAGCGGAAACTAACGAACTGGGTCTTCCCTATGGAACTTCATTGACGAGAGACTTTCAGGTTTATCAGCTTCCCTGATAATGTCCCCCTTATCCGAATGGAGTAAATTCTTCAAAGACCTAATGCAGTATCCACGAAACTCCTCGAAGTTTCGTGGGTATTTCTCTCTTGGAGTTGGGTGTAAATTAGGCAGTTAAATGTGGCCGCTGACAGCATTCGTGAAGTAGACAATGCATACGTCCTTGACGACGTGGGACTTCAGAAACAACCGGCATACTTCTTTCGTAAACTTTCACATGAGAAAATTCAATCGACATGAGACAGAATGTATATTCGGCGGACAGCTGGCCATACTGCACACGTATTCAGAGCCCCTTTAGTCCCTGAAACAATTTCATCCATGAGCTAGCTACTCACTCGCGCTATGATATAGATCGTCACATACCCTACTCATTCATCAAAACCCCTTCAACAGTTATGAACTTGAGATATCATGGTGAACACCCCAGTTCTTGTTAGTCATAACACTCACTTTCCACCCTATAAAATTCTTTGAAACAACATCCGTGTGCACATAAGTCCAACATAAGTAAAGCTTGGGCTACGGTGAAAAATAACAGACACCAAATCTGAACTAAGGAGAGCGAACGGTCAGTGAAACAATGATACGACACTCGAGCAATCACACAATAAATTCCAGTGCAACAGTATTTAAAGTAAACCAGACTGCCTGCGAATCAAACAGATCAGTCATGAAGTCCTTCATAGATACGGTAACGCCTACATCGTGCGATTCGCACTTATTGTAAATTAGATTTTAGGACAGGTAATGGCAAAGATTCTACCTAAGTCGAGAATTGAAGTGACTAAGCCTAGGTTGCCCTGTCAAAATCAACTAGCTAGTGTCTGAGTGTTGCGAAAGAATTGCAAACTTGCTCAAAACAGCTCCAATCGGGCATGTTCACCTCGACAACTTTTTGAAGGATGAATGGATATTTCTGAAAATTTCCTGAAAGACACTCGTCTCACACCCATGACAGTCTGCATATACAAGTCCTGAGGTTATTTTGTACAGGGACAAGGTTCAAGAAGAACACTATGTGGCTGAGACTTTTGAATTCCAACTTCTGGAAAGACAGTGCGGAGTTCAAAACACCCAGTGTAGAACATAGATCCATAACAACACCAGGGGTTGTGGCGTCAATGTTCGTCACATACAACGCAGCGTTGAATATGGTGATTATGAACCCCTGAAGACGAGATCTATGTAGCGATGAGCCGTTCGTTTTGAAACGCCTCGAACCCAGTTCAACTGATGAAGAAGGGCATAATGAACCAGTTTCAGCGAATGAAGACCTGTTATCTACACAAATCCTCCTCCGCTTTCGTTTGAGGCCTCAAGTTTTGCCACAAGTACCTTCCGGTGGCCATGTCGATGAAGGTCCAAAATCCTGAGCGAAGCTTCGTAGAAACCTTCAATACATAAGATCCACAGAGAGTAAGAAACAGAGTTCAAAACTTCGCACAGTCCTAACAACAAAGACTTACTTTCAAAACAATAGCGGCTGTCAACTAGAAGCGAAACGACTAGATCAAGCTATTCATCTCCAACCATGCCCGCTGTATGAAATCCGAGCCAAATCGTCCTTGTCTCTCGACCAAACCAAAACGGTAAAGCGTACCGAACGGAGCACCATCTTGTTCTATTCTCTACTAAAATGCAGGACGAAGGAGAAAGATCAGTGACTGCACCTCAGATGCAGAGTTCTCCTCAGCTTTGTCACCGAAAACCTCTGATTCATCTTCCGTGTAATCCAATATGCCAGACTCCTCGGTCTTGTTGTAGTTTCTCCATGCCAAGTAACTAGCCAATAGGGCAGAAAAAAAAACCAGAAAGATACGCATGGGACACATTGTCACTTGTTTTCCTTGTTTTCCTTCAAAATGTCGCTCCCACACCCTCTAAAGCAAACCCTAGGACTGTGATATAATGTATCAGTCTAAATTCTTCTGGATGTTTCTGTGAAGGAGACGAGTTTCTCCCTCAGTGACCTACAGTGAGTTACGCCGGCACCGATTTCTGTTTCAGTCTGGTCCACTGCGTTTCCTGAGCGCCACCTGTTATTGGAACCCCAGGGGCAAGTGTTTGATCATATGTCCCTCGTGTGCGTCGACGAATATAAGCTTCAACCTTCAATCACCTCCTGTCCCCAGCTGCGTAAAGAAGAAACTTCATGCGAATTCCCAAACTCTTCGATCGAGCGATGGTGGCCACCTGGGAAGAACAGTCAGAGCAGAGAAGTAGCGCAGAGACAGGTTGATGAGAGCAGTCCAATTTCAGAGACACTGATCCGATAATAAGCAGCAGGAGGAGACCTGGACCTCGGGGATGGCTCTGACATCGTCCTCAGTCACCGCCTGCGGAGTGCTGCACCACCGCAATCTCCTCCACGGTCTCGCAACACCAGGTCAATGCCACAAGCAACAAGCATAAGGCCTCGTCGCTCAGCTCGACCGCGTTCTGCACATTTCTCCAGCCCGGCTCGTTCCAACCTTAGCAGGAGAAGCACTTGAGCCACCGAGTCGCCCCCACTCCTGGCGCCTTGACTCCAGCCAGAGAGCCAGCCAGGCCCACAGGCACCCCTCCCCCACATGCCGTCCTCGCAACGAGAGCAAGAATTGGCATCTGCCGCTGACCCGGTCCCCCTTCCCCCGCTCCTCATGCCGCGCCTTTCCTCTCCGCTGCAGCGCCATGAATGCTCTGCCGGTTGGTGGGTGGCCCGCTCTGCGGCTAGGCTCCTGAGCTCGAACCATACGCTCCCCGCGTTATTTTAGCGCCGTCGCGGACCCCGAGTCCCGACCCCTGACGTCGTCTCGGGACTCCTTTGTGCACATACGCAAGCTTAGCCCGTCCCATTTCGTTGATCCGGCCCAGTCCCACGTCCCATAGAACAAAAATCATCCGAAGATATCACATGGACATATTGAAGTGTTCTATTCTCTACAACACAAGTTCGATCCAATGATTCATCACTATGTGAAGAAACCAAACGCACTTCAGTTATATTGTCCAAGAAACCCACCATGAAATGTTTCAAAGAGTCCACATCGATCATACAGAAGCTGCATTTAAGAAGAAAGGGAAATGTTTCAATGAGTCCTAGTGATTGTGGAGAAACTGTACCGTCAAAGAAATTAAACAGGAAACACCTCAATGAATCATAGCGATATAATTTCATCTAGAAGTTGACGAAGACGGATGCTCCTAATGAAGGATCGCTTAGGAGTGAATACTATGTACAGTAAATGAAATATCTATCGGATAGATTTGGAACAAACTAGAGCAAATTGTAACCAATAGGCTTTCATATGTGATGAAACTAAGTAAAGATCTTTTTATACTCTATTGATAGTTTTACCAAACTTGAAAACATGCTTTAGATATGGATTGATAGCATGAGCCGTGCCAATTTCACTATTCTGCAATCTCTTGCCATTGTCAAATCAAAGTGTTATGTATAAAATTTATCAAATCCAATAACCTATTTCAAAGCATCTTAGCAATGCCTAAGTTGATTCATAGTGCGACAAGGGTTGCAGAAGTACTGATTCACATATGACAAATTTGATTTCTAGATTGTTCATAGCTTTAAACAAACCCTACATGATTATAGCCCAATATGATTCAAAAATGTCTACAATAAAGTCCAGATCAACTTGCTCTTTCATCTAATTCTAAGATACAATCTTCTAATACTTTGATGAGGATTTATGAACAAATAGAGGGAAGAAAAAATCCAATGGTTAAAAAAAATATTCAAGTATGCCATCGATGTACAAAACTCACAAAATTTCTTGCACATTGATCGTTAAATCAAAAGCACCAATGTGTATCAAGTATAAAGATTGGTGTAAACATGAACTAATTCATATTTTAGTTAAGTGAAGGATTGCTAATGATCTATCCATATCTCAGTCAATTGAAAGCTTGTATGAACATTGAAACCTGTTGGAATTAATTCAAAAAAATATTTTTTCTAAAGGTGAAAAAACCAATCATCCATTTGATTCTTTTGTTGATGGACAATGTTCTTGAACACTCTGAGATTTTTTTACATGACAATGTTATGACCGTCTTCTTCAATCCCAAAATGTACAAGTTGGAAATAACTCATCAATATTGACATAATGGCAATTAAAAAAAAGGTTCATATATTTCTATCTCAAGGATTGTTTTGGATTCTATGAACTAGATGAGGAGACAAAAAAAAAAAAAAAAAAACGCAAGTACAAAGATTTTGATGCTGTTGGAGTTGCAAACGAAATTCCAACTCATTCATTCAATACAAAGAAGTTTGGCATTGGGTGTCATCAAGTCTATCAAAAAAATGCATATGTGAATGCAAAAACAGTAATAGTAGAAGTTGATGAAGAAGCATTGAATGAATTGGACGATTTAATCTCCAACATTGCGCAAGCTATTGTAGCTTCAAATCTTGCTGTTGGACAAAAAGAGCTTTGAAATTTGCTCATGATTACGATGAAAATAATGAAATATTCACAAATGCAAATTTGGAAGAAGTGGAAAATCTTTTGATGACGATGAAGATTGCTCATAAAAATCTGGATGAAGAAAATGGTTATGAGATTATTATATCTCAAGATTCAAATTTCAAATTCACAGGGCGTGAAGCGAATTCTAACCCAACAACTAGGAAGCGGTAGATTATTATAACAGCGGGATCACCGCAGCTTAAGCTAATAGGATGAAGCATAAATATATATATCTTTTTTCTATTTATTTCGCAGTGATCAAGCGTATATGACACGTAGTGCTTAAGAATAGCCAACTAGTGCTTGTCGCCAGGGTTCCCAGCTTCAATGAAGACTTTCGGAGATTTGGAGTATACGCCCATTATTTTTGACACAGTAGTGTTATACTTGTGCGCTAGTGTGTGTAAGAGAGAATATCTAAGCATTCATAGTCTAGTATTTAAAGATTTGAGTAATTTTATAAACAAATGGTTGAAATAAAGAAAGAGTTGCTCTGGGCAGAAGTTCTGTTCAATTCTGTTCAGAGACGAAGTAAAATTTGATGTTCTTTGACAGTGGTTTAAATTCTTTTATAGTAAAATCCGGACTTTCAGTTTGAAACTTCAAACTTTAGCCAAATGACAGTTCAAAACATGTTAAACCGAATAAACGTGATATCTGATTTTTTGGAAAATTAGTGTATACTTGACCAAGATGCATAATTAAACGGGTGAGTAGGTAAAGCGAGAGTCTAATATATGGGATTTGAATTAAAAAACTTCATATTAGAATAATATTCGAAAACTGGAAAAAATAAATGGAAGAGCACGCTGAAAGTAACGTCTGCAAGATAATAAAGTTAAATGACGGTGTACGAAGAGGGGTTCGGGAGATGTTTTGAGTTCGTTAGTCTACGGATAGTCCTATCTGGTGGGCCCGGTCCGCGACGTGAGAAAAAATGATCTCGCGACGAAGACTCGTACAGCCAAACATAGCAAGCGGGAGTCCCCGCCGGTCAGAGCGAAATACGGAATTCGAATTACGATGCACCGCTGGAAAAGACGCCAACTGGACTCCGGACGGAGGCGTTTGGAGCGTCTTCGGTAAGTCCACGCGGTAACAATAACTTTTCCACCGAGGTCGACCTTTTCCGCGGATTCTCTCGCATGTCCAACGCTGGGCTTCCACGAGACTTCGTCCTCTGGCGCACGACTCAGCCCAGCAGGTCAGGCTGAGGGTGAGGGCTGAGCTGGAAAAGTCATTGGACACGCAAAAACATTCGCTTCTTAGAACAAAGCCATCTTGCTGCATAATTTTTCTCGATAAATAAACAATGCAATAGGGAAGGAAGTTTTCATATTCTACATCCAGGCAGAATCTTCCGATAGTGCGGTATAATTATTCTGTGGGTTTGCGCATTTTGAAGGACCGAATAAAAAACAAAAAGGAACAGTTTCAGTGGCGACGACTCCGAGCATTTGGAGATCTCGTCTAAAGACTATTCCATATTCTCCGTTGGGATTTATAAAGGTGGGATTCCTGTTCCAAGTCTGTCTTACGTCTGAGTACGCGTGACCAGTTTGAAGTTCAGCGTGCATGGGTTTGGATGTTGCAGGCGAGATCTGGAGTTTCAGCTCTCTTGAAAGTCCTAAAAAATCGTCACGAACTTAACCGGAGGCTAGACTCTGGATGACTAATTACGGCCCGTTCGATCGGACAGACTGAACGGACGAGCGTCCAACTTCCGTGAGTTCAGCCCAGGCGCATGTCTGATGAGAAATTTGCCGAATCAGCCCTTGCAGATGACGTGAGCGGCCGGGGAACCCGGCATTCCTGGCGGGTCAATGGGTACCTGAAATAGCACAGGAGACTCCTAAGTCAAATGGGTGCCCGAAATAGCAGAGAGGAGCGTTCCAAGTCAAAGCCATTCTTCACACATTGGGTCCGCAGTCTGATGCGGTCTCTGGATATACGGGACCCCAAGACCCCTCGACTTCTAGAACTCCAGCTCGCCTCTGTGCTCACCCCTGTCAGGAAATCAATGATTTCTGCTATATCTTGAAGCTCAAACCGGTAGGGCACACGGTCCTCGATCCGTGTTTCTGAACTGGCGTGGTGTGTGCCTTCTGAATGGGCTGCATAGCCTGGAGGGACCCCCAGTACAGCTTCCGGTGGATCTAGTTACGATTACCGTTTGGGTTGCCGATATTGTTAATGAGCTGGTGCAATCGCTATGAGCTATCTCATAACTCAGTCCTCGTCATACAGACAGGCAGTGCCCACCCGAGCTTTTGGTACATAATCGTGGCCGAGCTCACCAATGGTACAAAAATATCCAAGTAACTGAATATTATTGTACTCCCCGCCCTCCAATCGAATTAGAATAAGCTGTTTTGTTAATTGCAAGCGTAAGGACCGAGAACATTGATGTCATGCACAAGCTCCGAATCTTACGAATCGAATAGCGATCCTCGTTGAGCGCAGCCACTTTTGGGCATGATGATGACTCCTCATTTCCTAGAGGTGTCTCCGCGAGATTTCGAGCGGCCGCGAAGTCCAAAGAACTGGAGCAGGGAAGTACTGCAGCTGCCTGATGTTGATAGGCCATTGGAGGGTGGCTGCATGCGAGCTGATCATGCAATGAATGCGTTGCCGTCGAAGCCTTGTCTGAGCTGGAGGAGGCTGGTTGGAACCCGGATGGTACCTGCTGACAGAGCCTGGGAGGATGAAGTGGGAACTCGGGACGGAGTGAGATAAGGATTCGGAAAGAATGAAGACAGAGATGCAAGGTCAGCGGCGCTAAAGGTCCGCTGTACTGGACTTTACTTGCTCCGTGTAGGGCTCAGAGGTTGTTGCGTTGTCCGAGTCTATGGCTTCTCTTCTACCTCTTCGGTTTCAACCTCCTGCTGCTTGATGGGGTCTTCCCATCCCTGCGTCCTTTTTCTAGGATATATCGGAATACCAAATCTACAGCCCACGACTCATACGACCAGGTCTAGTCCCCCGAGTCTCCCAGGTCAAGAGTATCAGAACCTCCACGAATCCACGATACAGATGACACTGTGTTTACTGTACGCCCACTGTTGTGTTTTGCGTACGCGATTCTGACGGAACT